TCCGTCTAACCTACCACATTAAGAAACTCAGAATAACTGGAGTCCCTCAACCTCTGCTTTCACAATTTGTCAGCTCTCGTATCTTACCTATTCTACTTTACTGCTCCCCATTAGTAATAATAATAATAATAATAATATATTCTCATTTTTTACATGAGGGACGCCAGTTTACAGGCATCATCAATTCGATAATTTACACATAATATTAATAAGCATATTTAGTAAAGATAATATAATAAAGTACATTTTTTTCCCTAGCTATGTAGGGTACACCAATTGTATAGGCATGCATAAATATTGTTTTAATAATAATAATATATTCCTTCCTGTTTATGCAGGAACATACCTATTGTACAGACATGGATAAGTTGTTATATAAATTGCACATAATTTGATGTATAATGGATTTACAGTTTGGTTGTTCTTTCTGTCATTAGAGTCAGTCGGAACAGTCTACTATAAAGTTTGTTTGTGTAGCACATAAAGAGATATAGAAATATTGTCTTCGCGTTAACAAAAAACCCAGACATCAGATGAATGTAATACAGATATCTGGGAAAAATAAAGCTTGAAGTCAATTCTCCTATATAACTTTGTTGTGAACAACACCCTTGGTTTGAAGTTTATTGATGTATTATGTTGAGATCAGTGATATATTTATTCCATTTTTCAGCAGTCTTATCGTGGTTTCATAACAGGAAAGAAATTTGATCGTGGAGGCGAAAACTAGATAAGGTCATGTTAAGTTGTTTTGCTGCATCAAATGGTGCCGAGGTCGATCCCAGAATTCTCCGTTTGCGCCATTTGTGTCTGCATGGCGGACTGCACTCGTAAGTTGGGTAAAATGTTGAAAAACTGTTTGAGAACCAGTTGCTTCTTCATTTCAGATCATAAATACTCATTTACGGCATGTTCGCCAGCGTCTTCAAATGGTAGAATTGGATCGTTCCTGGAATTTGATTGATTATGAGATAAAAGGTTTGGAATTAATCATAGCAGTTAGAATACAGTTAAACATGCAGAGAAGTACTTTTGATTCAGCAACCGGTGAATTTTATATTCTTAGTCTTTCCTGGGTTATTGAAAAAGGACTATAGCATCCTGAGAAGGATGTTGAAGGTAGTTAGTAGGACTAGTGGTGTAAAACTTGGTCAGCTCGTCACTACATTGGTAGAAAGGCATCTGAATACATGCGAAAAATGATCTAAAACCATACTCTCTGACCCCCAACGCCCCCTCTATTACCAACTCTCTCCTTGCATCTCATCGGGTAGAACCAGAAATCAGTACAAAATAATATATGCTCGTAAACCAAGTATAGGAACTCCATGATACCGTGTTCTAAGTGACAGAGACAATGTTAAGCGCTTACTCTCTCTTATTTGTATTCTATAGTGAACAACCTCCTAAAACATACTAAGATACCTAAAATTGTTATCATTGGCTTACTTTTTTATTCTTTATACGATTCCTTCTTTTGTGTATCTACTGGTTCTGACTATATTATCACTATGATTATTACAAAATTGTCCTGTCATTAACCATCATATAATATTAATTTTGTGATAGTTTTTTTGTTCGGCAATATTAAACTGACAGTCTTGGCTGTAAACGCCGTTTTCATCATCTTAAAATTTTGTATTATGCTTGATTACTCACACTAACACAACAAACACTGCATTAGTGCTGACAATAAAAAAACCTGAAATGTTTATTCTATGATTGTTTAGTGTGGTTCAATCAAATTAGCTGATCATCTTGGCTATAAACATTCTTAATTACATTTCATAACTTCTTGTATGATTATAGCTGTTACTATTCACCACGTATACACATATCATAGCTCCCACTACCAAATACTGAAATATTATTTATTATTGCTGTTTATCTTCCTTTCTCCTTGGTATTTTTATTTGCATTTTTTGTTATTTTTTTGTTTCTTTTTGGTTTTTGTTGATTTTGTACATTTATTTTTTGTAATACTCCTTTTCACTGTGCGATGAAATTAGATGCAATATTTAGCAAAGTTCAACTATAGCGTCCCTGGAGTAGGAAGGCACGAGTGACCTTCAGCTAACCAATCATAAAAATGAGGAATGTTTGCTCAACAAATGGTGTAAATTGACAAGAAAATGCTTGAAAACGCACCAATCAGGTTTTCTCTCCCTCTGACATGGCTTAAAAATACCACAAAGTTCTACAATAGCGTCCCAAGGGATGCGAACGCACGAGTGACGTACATTCACCAGAAAATGCATGAAAACATATTAAAAAAATGATCTCTCTCTGACATGACCTAAAAGAACGTCCCGGTTATGATGAAGAGTATCAGTTGCTAACTTGGACTGGTTTCTATAGATGTATTCACCAAAGTGACCGAAGGTGTGCTGTTTTGTGTAACGTTCATCTCTCTTCTCTTGCTGTGCAGTCCTCTCCAAAGCCCTCGGTTAAATTGCTATGGTTTCAGTAAGAGGATCGACGACTACATACATTGTAAATGAGGATAAAACAAATTAAAATAAACGACACTAACTATAAATCTATCCCTAAGCGCAACCCTAAGCTTGATCCTGAGCCTAACATTAAACTTAACCCTAACCTTAATCCTAACCCTAATAACAATCCTTATCCTGCCGTAAATCTAACCCTAATCCCAATTATGAACGTAAACCTAACCCTAACCCCAATACTTAAATTAACCCTTATCCGAACCTTAACGAGATATTAACACATAGTCCAAACAGTAATTAAAAGTGTTATCTGGGTCAAACTTGCTCCTTATTTGATGAATAGCGTTGATATTTCAGCTATGATAATGACAGATGCCGTTAGATAACGATTAACATGCGTTCAGGGTCATTGGAGCGTTCATATGCCTGGAACGCTATTGTTGAACCTCGTCCAATATTACAGGTATGTGCTGAAAATTCCACACCGCCAAACTAGCACTGTTTCTGGAATAAAGCAAATTATTATTATTATAACAATTTGACCACGCAAATACCCTCAAGGGGAAGCAGTCGCGCCACTTCAAATAGCGGATACGCAATATGATCGCCATCACCTCCACACTTTGCTAGTTTAAGTATCTGCATAGTTATTTATTTGATAACTGTTCATTGCTCTCACAGTCTTCTGTGTCATATTTCAAAGGAAGAAGTTATTATTATTGTTTCCTAGGATTCCTAGTGCAGCATAGGGCTTCAACTGCACGTTTCCACTTGCTTCTGTTTTCTGCTGTACTTTTCCCCTGGATCCGTGTTAGTCTATACTGTTTCAACTCCTCTTCACACGATATCCTCCATGTCACCCTTGCACTGACGTCCCACTCGCCGCTTCCCTTTCGGCCTGGTTCCACTCGAGAGGTGGCCTGACGCGCGCGCGATGTCACCAAGCGGTCTCCTCAGCACCTGTTCAATCCATCTCCATCCACTTTCTCCCGCATATTTGTTGGCTGGCGATTGGTTCTTGTTTTGTTTGTTCCAAGCCATAGTTTCTTGTTGGTGATTCTTTCCGGCCCGGCCATCTGATCATCAGTATAGCTCCAGCGAAGACAGTTGTTGATAAAGGTCTGGTCTGCAACAGGCTGTTGGAAATATTCTTTGTGACCCGCCCGCCCGCCAAGTTTCTCATCCGATCCGTATAGAAGAACTGACTGACTTGACGTATGTACTGAAAATCCGACCGAATTTTGTTGTTGATGCTGGCTGAGTGACGAAGATTTCCAGATTGGTTTCAGGTTGATGAGTGAATGTGTTTCTCGCTCACCTTCCCGATTCTCGCTCGATTTGACATCCTCATCCGTTCCGACTGGCTGTAGTTGAGACAATGCTCCCTAGATCACTGAGTGAATGAAGTAACCTGAATGTTGCTGCTGTTGGTGGTTATTTTCATGACCTCCGTCTTGTTTAGTTCACTTGGAGTCCTGTCTTCGCCGGCTGCTTCTTCGACCAGTTTGTCCGTCGGTTTTCGCTTTTAAGTCTTCGATTTTGTGTGACATCAAACACAAATCATCGCCGCGCGAAATCCAGGTCTTCTAGGTTCTTCACGTCGGTCGGTTCAGGATATCCCTGTCTTCTCGTTTCTCACTGTCTGACGCATATTCCAGTCAGTCCACCACAATTAGGATTATCTTTGGTGATAATAAGCCAGCACCCTTGCCTGACACCTGTGTTTACTCCAAACGCCTCGCTGAGTTTTCCATTGTGGATGACTTGACATGTTCCGTTGTCGTACAGTTGTTGAATAAGGTTGATGAATATTTGAGGTGCGTCGTTGAACTCGAGTAGTTTCCAAAATACTTTGCGGTCAGCGCTGTCTGTTGAAGTTGAGGTAGAGGTTTGATTGCCATTCCATGCTTTTTCTGTGATGATGATGATGGGTAGAGTTACAATTTGGTCAGTACATGATTTGCCTTTCCTGAATCCAGTTTGTTCCGGTGGGTGTCGGAGTTCTGTCTCCAGTGCGTCCTTTATTCTCTCTAGGATGATGCGAGTTAGGATTTTATTTGGCGTCGATAGAAGCATGATTCCTCGCGAGTTCTTGCAGAGTCCTGAGTCGCCCTTGCTTGGTAGTTTTACGAGGTAACCTTTCCTCCAGTCAGTAGACATCTTTCCCTCCTTCCAGACCTTTTGCAATAATGGAGTCAGCATATCTGCTGTCATCTCTGGGTCCGCTTTCAGTGCTTCAGGGGGTATTCCATCTGATCCAGCTGTTTTTCCAGCTTTCAGAAGCTTGACCGCACTCAAGACTTCAGCTTTCGTTGGAGGATTGGTGTCAACTTGTAGTTGTGTACGTGGTGTTGTTGGTATTTCTGGACGGGTTGCAGGTGGTGGTCGGTTCAATTGTCCTTTGTTTAATCTTTCTTCCTTGGTAATTGGGTTCCCTTGGCTGTCTTGTTGATATTTATTGAATGCTTTCACCAGCCTGCGTCATTTAAATTCCTCGATTCCGGGAAAAATGAGGTTATTGTTTATATATTTAGAATTTTGAATATATATGTGCACTGAAGTTTCTGTAACGATTTGGTTAAGTTTTGGAGGTGGAGTTGCCAGCACCATTCCCCAACCCTCATTCTTTACCGGCACTTGGAACCGACTAGAAAATAAAGGGGGAAGTTAGTGATGTATTTTCATATCCTCAGTCACTAAGTAATGGACATTGTACAGCCTTCAGTTTGCCGCATCTTACAAAAGGCGGCGTTGTAACGCGTACGAAGAGAAAGTTCAGTATATAATTTGCGCACTGTAATAATTCCTAAATGTACTTGTTTCATAGTTAGTGTATTATTAGCTTGCTATTCCTCCTTAAGTAAGTAATTCCATTTGATTGTGGATATACTGTAATAATAAACAAATATAATAATGGATGTTTAACTTTTTTGTTAAGCCTTAAATTTGTTTAGTGGATTTCAAGTAGTTTATTCCCGATCTTTTAATTCCTGAAAACGTACCATGAAAGCTGTCCTAAACTGAATACCAGTAATAAACAATCATATAATCATCGAGTAAAATTCCTAAAGAGAGGTTTTGAATGCTAAACTTTCAATAAACTGTCGGATACTAAGATTGGTATGAATATACTTGGTAATTGATACAGTGAAGTATACTCAGCAACTGGTTTTGGAGTCCAAAGAAAATGTTGCAACTGTTGTATTTAAGGTATTATTTTGTAGGGATGTGATTGATACGTTGCAGGACTTCATAAGCTGACATCGGTTAGAGAACCACTGTAGGGCGACTCTTAACTGTAGCAGCTCATTGCGAAACTACCTCCAGCGACCAATGAGATGCGTCAGAACTAACGTATAAACTTTCATATACAAGTAATGCAATGTTAAATGAAGGTTACATAGCATAATATTCTTGTATATGTTACAAACAACCCCCGATTTCTTACAGTAGCCCTCATGTCAAGTTGAACCGGTATCTGTACATAAATTCGTCAAGGTTGTCCATCCGTTTACTAAGTAGTTTCGTTTTGGGCTGCCTTTAATTAGACTCACTAATTGAGATTTGACTGGTTGTTTGTAATGATTATCCGCTGATAGAAGTTAAATTGACATTCATGCAAATGTGCATTATTCTGTCCCCATTCACGAGTGCTATAAAACGTTAGTTAAATGTCGAAAACAGACAGTTTAATAGGTAGAAAATATTATGTTAAACTTCAAGTCATGCTTGTGATGACTACCGCGTATAATATTTATTTGAAAGACTAGGATTTCATAATTTATCAGCAGGTATATTCTAACAGTTGAATTTATGAATAATGAAGTGGTTGAAACTTTGAATATTGTTTAGATGGTGACGGATGCAGCGTTAACTCGTTCACAAAATCCGAACTGTAAAAAGTAGGAGGGGTCTAAAAAACTCAGTCGAATAGGCTGTGTTTTAAAATATTTCCTGTTATTAGATGTTACTCTTCCCTTGTAACAGTTCCAATATCTTTTTTCTACGAGCTATTGTAAGTTGATTCGATTTTTTTCTGCTCTCTTCTTGGTTGTGAGTTAAAAATTACTGGTCTTCGGTTTACAATGAGGCACCTGCAAATTTTGTATGACCATCTTTTTATGACAAGTCTGTAGCTAACTGTATCATTGATTGATGGGTGATGACTAGCAGTGGAATCCAGAACACGCATTTCGTCCCATTTGAGGCCCTTCATTACCGATGAATCTACTTTGGATATGTTAGTATTTTAACATTCTTCACTTAACGTAACTCAACATTCACCACAACTATACTTTTGATTGATAATTTTGTAGCTACTCCATATTTCACTCACTTTTATCCCTAATAACTATCTTTTTTGATAAAATTGTGTTGAATTTCTTGATAGTATCAGTATTTTAATTGGAATTCTTTCAAGGGTATTTTTGCAATTAACTTACAGATCCTGATGAAGAATGTGAATGGGTTTCCAGTTATGTTGTATATTGCTCCTGCAGCTGCTCTTATCGGTGTTCATGTTGGAGATGAGTAGGATTATTTATTTCATCGAATGGTTTTTTCAGGTTTTCTATTTTATTGTGCTTGCACTATGTATTGTGCAGAGTGTTTTCGCGAGTTAGCACCAGTAGTTTGTGAGTACTTTTTTTCTTTAATCCAAATTTTGAAGATTGCTTGTCTTTACAATGGGTACAGTATTGGCGTCTGAAATAATGGCGCTGCGAATTCTCTTACCAGCATCATGGTAGTTGTATTTTATTTTAATTAATAATTTTTCTAGGCATGCACCAGTCAATATATTGTATATTTTACTTGTCAATTCCTTTTTATGTCATTATTTGTTGTGGTCATTGATGGAGTTTTCTCTGGTTAATATTGAACATGAAGTCAGTTGTGGTTTTGTATCATTAGTTCCCTAATAGATTCTCGAAATTCCAACTTTCAGCAGTTTGCCAACAAGTAGTTGTATGCTGATCACGTTGTTGGGATTCGGCCATTGGAAGAAACACATGTCTTTACTGACGAGTGTTATAGGGTAACATTTAAAAAAATAATTACTGTATCTTTTGACTTTAAAGTTTGCCTACCCTATGGCTTTTCTGCAGATATAAGCCACAAGAGCATCTCGAAAGTCTTTGGAATTCAATCATAGACATATGCACTGGTATCCTACTAATTCTCTTTCCTGCTTTAAATTACATCTATTACTTTGCCGGTGGTGAGGAGCCATTCTTAAAATTCTTGGTAAGCTAAACCAGCATCGAACCTCTTATTTCGGGTAGCCCTTCTATTCCCTCACAAGTGTCTGGAGATTTCTTGTCAAACATTATTGATTAAAAGATGTGTTTCGTAACCGCGGTATTTTTATTCTATTTAGATTTTTTGAAAGCTGATATATTATTTCAGGACAACAATTTTGGCATGTTTGTCCACTAACGAAACTAATCCCATAAAAATATCTTAAATAAACACATAATGCATAATTAACACTTTTTGGTCAATGAACACGTATTTTATTCTACTATGACTTTTGGAAAACTCTTGACGTCTTCATTATGAAAAACTGCTGTTTAACTTTGGTCTTTGAAGTAGCCAGCCGAATATCATTTTACACGTCCCAGAATCTATCTGCATTTCAGCTATAAAATTACTATCGACCCTTTTTCCTTTAAGAAGAACATTTGTGTAGTTTACTGATTCTGTTTCACTAATGAGAACTACATAATTATTAGACAGTACTCAATAGATATGGGTTACAACTATGCGGACTGATGTGTCGTACTATACTGAGTAAAAATGATTCATTTATCAAAATTCCATTCTTCCAGGAAAATAGTTGCAAAATGTATTAGTTATCCTAATATCCCTCTTTGAAATGGCTGCAGAATCAAAAAAGAATAAAAATCAATACACATTTTCTTTGCTTGAAGTTCATTTTTATTGTTTTCTTGTGTGAAAATATTGACTATCAGAAAGAGGTGCTCAGAAATCAGGCAAACCAATAGTTCAGTACAGCTGTTTTCATTTATTGTCCTTTTTTTATTGAATTCACCGCACTTCGCTGTACGATCTTTCTCTTGTTACATGTTAACTGTTACTGTATCTTCAAGCTAAATTACAAATTTATGAGGGTTATTACAGTCATAACCCGGGTATTGAATAGTATTATTAAGTTGTTTGCTGGATAATCTGTACATTTAATTCAGGGATATTATCAATGCATAGAAGCTATTTCTAGGTGCAATAGTATGAAGCTATTGGAACTGGGATAATTCTTTAAATGTCTTCATATTTCTCTTTTTATCCTTCGCTTGTATTATTTTGTTTTGTATCAGTTTAATTTACAACTGTTTATTTGTCTTTAAATGTCTTCATATTTCTCTTTTTATCCTTCGCTTGTATTATTTTGTTTTGTATCAGTTTAATTTACAACTGTTTATTTGGAGATTTCTTATTTGGATTATAGCACTGTGTTCGGTGGAAATACTAGCTGTGAGCATATGAGAGATCCTTCCTGAACGCGATGAACAATAAGAAGAATATCTGTCCTAAACTGCTAAAAGTGTGATAATTGACCTAGAAACTTAAGGCAGCAAGTGGAGTGTAGAAGTAATTTCGCAAACAAGTCCTGTACGTTGTAAGATGATTACTCGAGGAGAACAGGTGTATGATTGATTTGGTGGAATGATGAATTTTTTGAAATTAATTACACAACATTAATTAATTGTACTATATTTGAAGGTGATAAAACAAAACTAATAAATGAAATAATGGTTTTCCGATTTTCAAATCAGGTTCAGATTTAAAGGTTCGAAAATACGGTATTAGGTATATAGTATTTATTGGTGTTAGAGGTTTTTGAATGAAAAGCGAGACGGCGTTCATTTTCTTGACGTTTCTGTGTTTAACGCCAACACCTTAATCAGTTTTAAAAGTAAACCAAAAATTACAAAGTCAACCTACCCACTAAAGTGTTTGAATCATAGAAACGATTTGCTTGTGTAATGATAAGTACTTATGTTTCGACAGTGTTAGTTTGTGTTAGGGGTTGACTTGCTACCACGGAATAATCTCGTTGACTTAGAATATGCAGACGATATAGTCCTTCTAGGCGAGGACGCTGACAAAATACAGAGTCTTCTGAACACCTTGGGCTGCAATCTACGAACGTTTGGCATGCGATTCGCTCCCGCCAAATGTGAGATGATGTTACAAGACTGGACTACACTGACTCCTAGTTTAGAAATAGGCAGTGAAGTGGTAGAGTACGTTGACCGCTTCACTTACTTGGGAAGTACCATCAGCCAGCGCCTACGGGTTGATCTCTGACGAAATCTCAGCTGAGTACGGATACAGTGGGCTAGTTTCGGATATGCCAGTTCACGCCGTCTCTGGGGTAGACGTGATATCCGTCTGGCTGTCGACCAAAGGGCGGGTGTACCGCTCCGAAGTCCACTCCGTCCTCCATCATGGCTGTGATCGAGACCTGGCCATTGAGAGTGGAAGACATGAAAAGACTAGCTATCTTTGATCATAGGTGCCTGCGTTCTATCTCCCGTGTGAAGTGGTGTATAGGGTGAGCAATATTGAGGTTAGGCTTCAGTCGAGTCCTAGGTAAGGAGGGGAAATCAATCGACGAGGTTGTAAAGGCACATTGACTGAGATGGTTAGAACATGTGTTACACATGCCTGGTCATCGCCTCCCTCGACAATGGGCAATGTTAGCTAACATAGGATCAAGTTGGAAAAGAGCCAGCGGTGGCCAAACCAAAACATGGCCTCACCAGTCAATGAAATCCACAACAGTTAGTTTAAGCCACGTAGGAAGGTGTAGACTTCTTAGCTGGTTGGGGTCCTCGAGACGGTAAAAACCAATGGTTGGAAACAATTGGTGATATGGCTCAAAATCGTTGTCAATGGCTGGCACGGATGCATCCACTCCTTGTGACTTATGATTTCCAATGAAACTATATTGTTATTCCATATTACTATTCTCTTTGGCTAATATCTCGGTTTACTGTCTCTATTATGCATTTCTTCTACTTTCTTCTTTCTCTTGCTTTGTGTGCTACATGGAGTGTGGCGACCTGAACTGCTCTGTGAGGGTGCAAAGTTCTGTGGAACTGTCTGTTACAGAGAGGTGTACCTGAGAAATTTGTTAACATCTTGAAAGCCCTATACAGAAACACCTCAGGTAGAGTGAGGGCATACAACCAACTATCATCACTGTTCCCGAACAACAGTGGGGTTAGACAGGGTTGCCCAATCTCTCCATTTCTCCTTAACTTTGCCATCGATGACATTCTGGAGTCAGCTCTGAAGGATGTGCGTGAAGGTGGTGTAGATCTGCCCCCTGGAGAGAGACTTGTCGACCTCGAGTATGCAGGCGATATCGTCTTACTGTGCGATAGAGCATGCAGGCTGTCCAAATCGCACTTAATCAGTTGGCGATCAGAGTCTGTAAGTATGGTATGTGTTTTTCGCCGTCTAAGTGCAGAGCACTGTTGCAAGGTTGGCATGAGCCTGTACGTACACTCACTTTTGCGGGTTAGCCGCTTGAAGTTGTTGATAAGTTTGTGTATCTGGTTAGTTGTACGAGTGCTGGCGGAGGAATGACGGATGAGATTTCCAACCGTACAATGAGGCCCACGGTGGTATACATCAACTTGAGCCACCTATGGCGCCATCATGACGTTAGACTGGCTGTCAAAGGTCGGGTATACAATGCTTCGGTGCGGGCTGTCTTGCTCTACGCTTATGAAACCTAGCCTCTCCCAGGTGACTCTGAGTATTCGATCATCACTGTCTCTGCAGGATTGCTTGCGTTCGATGGCATCATCGCGTGAGTAATTATGAGGTTCGGCGGCGTATGTTTGAACACAGTGGAGATCACCATTCATTGAGTGTCGTCATCTGGAAACACCGGCTACAATGGCTGGAAAATGTGCTGCAAATCTCATCCAAGAAGCTTCCGTACATGACTGTTTGCTAGCCCTGGGATGGCATAGAAAAAGCGTAGCGGTGGTCAGTCCATGACTTGACGTCTTAGGATTAAGGATGTTTGTGCTAGATTAGCATCGGTTGGTGCGTCACGACTCCCTGGTCAGGGTCCGCGAGATAGCTCGAATCGATGACTCGAAACGTTATCGGATATGGCCAAGAATCGTAATCAATGGCGAATGTGTTGCAGTTTCTTTCTTTCTTCCCTTCCCGATGATAGTTAACGAACACTGTTTGAACTAGTTAAGCATGACTGTCTTCCTTCCAGATGAAGTTCTTTATCCGTTCTCTGCTTATATATATATTTTTCTTTTCCTTCCTTTTTTTGATCTATGTTGTTTTGTTATTATTGTATGACGCATCCTTCTTGGTGCCATATCGTACCAAGCTTTTTTTTGTGCGTTTGAATAAATAAAAAAAGTTCTATGTCGAAAACAGACAGACAGAGTTTTAGTTTGTGGATGTAAGATGTTGGAACCAGGTCGAATTGTGTTTTATGCTCTCATTCTTTTATTCAGTTGATTCTCATTTGACTTTATGCGACGTTCTTTTATCGTGTGACGCCCTTATGATCTTAAAAGTTTTCTGAATGTTTTTCAGTGTCAATCTTCTGGCTTAATAATACACAGTATGAATTTATAACGTGTGATATTCCAAGCTTTTCAAGTACTATTCGATATGTCTGTGGTCAAACAGTTGCTCTTCTTAATTTTGATATATTGAGAATTTTACCTAATGTATGTCTCATCACGGTCTGAATACTTTAGTTTGTACACAGGTTATGAATCCTTCATGATTTCGTCTCCCATATGAAGAAGATTGTCTTGTAGTATCTCATGTTCTAAAGTGTAGTTTAATTTCACCTTTGATGAATACTCTTTTAATCTCGTCTGATGTGTTTAACTTGTATAAGAAAGCGACTTCCGTGGTCTCTAATTTTAAAGTACTTTATCTGCCACGTTTAGTGTTTTCCTTTCTTTTGTCGATAAAATCCTTCAGAGAGTTGTTCATTTTTGGAATTTCGATAATTTTTGGTTTCCCTTATTCTTACTAGTGGGTGCTTGTAATTTCCGTTGGAAGTGGACTGGTAATCTGTGTATAATTTACCGACGCTAATTTGTGTAGATAACCAGGGTACGGAGTTCGTCTGAACACACGTTCTGTTTCAGTAAGATTATGATGCCCCTTACTGTATATCCATTATAATGAAGCCATCATTCATTTTTTCCTACCGTTTGCCCGTCTATACAGAATTTTGTTTCAGAAATTTGGTAGTGTTGTATGAAAACCTGTTTTTATGTAGAACCGTTGATGAGAAAACCTAATTGAAGGTAAACTTTTTATGTTGACTTGCTTTCTAAGCCGAACTCCGAGCCATAATACAAAATGAAATAACGTTATGATAGCAATACATGAAGAATCTTTGTAAATGACCCGCGATTTGGCATCTCCAGCAGTCTATACTGACTACATATCTGTCATCATAATTTTCGAATTTAAAACATACTACTTACTAATAGCGAGTAGCACGGGCGATTGTAAAGGTTTTTTAACCGTGTAAACCCTGCGCATTCTGTTATCGGTGAGTTTAAGAGACACAAAGTTCTTCTGTCTGCAGGGAATGAATATACGACAAACTAATGATGTGTTGCTTTAATATAAAATAGCTTTCTACATAAATCTGAAATAACTTTGCCACTTTATAACCTCTTAATATTTCTTTTCTTACACATTTGTTTAGGCAGAAATTCTGTTTCTAATCACAACAACGAATGTGTTATTATCACAACTTCATATCCGAAGTGTGTTTACGCCTAAAAGTATGTGTCGTTTGTGAGTCTAATAATGTTTTAACATGATTTCATCAGAATAAATATCCTATGTGTTTTGTTAGCTGCTAACAATTAAAACTATTTTGGTTCGTTTATTTTATATCTTAGGTAAAAGTATTACTTTACCGAGTGTTGAAATTTGTAAAGACATTCGTCAGCATATTACCGTGTAAACTGCTTCTTTTATTCTCTTACACATGTGTAGTGTTCGAATGGAGGTAAATGAAATCAGTCGGACAATTTACTAGATGCTGTTTCTTTCGTCTAAGGACTTAAGGTGGCACAGCGGTTAGGATGCTCGCCGACCATGCACATGGTCCGGGGTTCGATCCCCGGCCACAGACGCACTCCTTTACCTCGCTACGCCAGTAATAATGCTGGTAAAGGGGAAAGGTTGGGCATGAGGCTAGCAACCCCATCCCGTAAAAATAAACACTACTGCTACAGAAACTTCAAGCCACTAGCTTGAAGCCCTATATTTCACTGGTAACGTGAAGGAAAAAAATAATAAAATAATAAGGACTTAAGGTTACGTGGCGTGGTTCAAAGCAAAGGATAATTGTGCTTATATATATTCATTTCTAATTTCCCCAAAATCCCAGACTTGTCATGAGTTTGCAACCTTCGTTGTCGTCATTTTTGGTTCACCTCGTGGATGTCGTAGCTTTTGTCTCATTGGTATTTGCCTTCAGCTGCATCCGCAAATAAGAAACCTTATGTTGTTTTATGTTCTAAACTATTTCATTCCTAATATTATGCGAATGACTTGGCGTTTTTAGCACTTCCCAGGGCATAAATATAGTATTGGGTGACTGTCTGAATACTTGGTCTTTTCAACATCAGTATATTGATTGCGGTTCTACTTATGTTTTTCTTCAAATAAGTTGTACAGGCGTCAGTTTCCTACGGCGATTGATAAACGGTTTATTTTCAAACCATCCAAATGTCTTGTTTTTTACTTTATGTTTAGAATTTGTATACTGCAGCTTACGTTGAATGTTATTTTGTCTATTTCATTCTAATTTCGCAGTAAGTGTGTCGTTTCATGTATTCTCAAACCTCCGATTTCGGCATTACAATTCTCAAGTTCACCGGAGAAGCATTCCTTTATCTAAGATTGTGGAAATGCCCTATAGAAAGATACTTTGTTTGATTCAGGATTTCTTACCAATTGAGTGCAACAATTTTCAGTGAATCCCAGTGTCATGTTCTGCTTTGTTGACCACATTTTAAACTTGATGCATAAATTTCAATTAGTAATTTAGAGTTATATCGATTAAATCCTAGTAAACAATTCATTGTTCTTCATACTGCTGCACATATGTGATTATTGTTTTATTTCATTTTATTTTACAGACAGCTTTTATAAGCGGATTTTCAATGTGATTCCTGTGTTTAGTGGAATTATTCTGTTGATGTTTCACACAGATTTTCTAGACGTACTATTCAACACGCCTGATTATCTGGCTACATTTTTTGTGCATTTTCTCTTCTTTTTTATCCTGATCTCTGTGACATACATACGATTGCATCATCAAACAATTCAAAAACAATATGTTTTAAAAGTAAGTTTTATGTATTTGTTTATAATGACAATGTGTTTTTGGTTTTAATGAAAAAACACAACTAGTTTATTGTCTTTTTCTACCTGCAAATAATTAAAACTGTAGCTTTATATGTATTGAGCCAACCGAGCATGCATGCAATAGGAATGACCCAACATATCTGTCCAGAATATCTGGAAAATTTCTCTACTCTTACGACAAACAGGACGGAGGAAAGCGGACTGTAAAACTCAAGTTTCACAATTGTATGTGTGTAGTTACAACTGATATGATTTTGAAAAGTAAATTGTGTTCCAAACGTCATCCAGTAAATAATACTGTTTCACCGTATGATATATACAGTAAACGAATTAATACGGGATTACAGACTACTACTCTCCAGATTCGTAGTGTAATTCATAAATTTATGCACAAGATGCAAGTGGCCACATCTTTCCTGTGTATACAAAGTCGTCGATTAGATTGTGAGATAAAATTGCTTTGATGGCCTGATCTTAGTCTAATATCGATAAAAATTCAAGTCGAAACAAAGACAGACAGTTTCGTAACCCCATTCACGTGGCAGTTGTACAGAAGCCTGTGTCGTTATAAGGCAGAGTGAGACCTGATGGATAATTGGGCGAGCAACCCGACTGATGGTATATCCAAACTTACACATATCTATGTTCTCGTGTTCACTTCCAATCAGTATCTTACAACACGTTTCGAGATTTTCAACAATAACGTATATGTCTTGCATGCAGACGGCACTTTACTCATTTCGTATTGATCTATTTTATTTTCTTTCTAGTGTATCTCCCTCATATTATTATTCCTAATGATCGGTTTATATTGGAATAAACTTTCAAAAACCTTGAGTATTTCTCAGTGAGTTTTTAGTAATAATGCTAATAAATGTCACTCAACTTTTGTGTTTTGTGTTATGCCTTTGTAGCTGAGTAACATTTTTTTGTTATTGTAACAGTTGTGTTATTAACACCAATAATTTCATCTTCATAGAAGTTTAAGATGTGTTGTTTTGTTTTATCACTAGATTGTGCTTATTCCTCTAATTTTTTAGAGCTGTCCTGATTGGTTCATTATTTCACCAATGTTTATTTATTGAAAAGTTAGACAGAACTTCTCATATGTCTTAAAATCAAGCTGTGAATAGTTGTAACTACTCTCTGTCAAGTGCATAAGCATACATTTTTATTACTTTATTTTATTTAAACGCAAAAAAAGCTTGGTAAAATATGGCACCAAGAAAGATGCGCCACACAATAATTAAACAACATAGATTAAAAGTAATAAAAAATATAAGTAGAGAACGGAAAAAAACCTTCATCTGGAAGGAAAACAGTCATACTTAACTAGTTCAAACAGTGTTCGTTAACTATCATCGGGAAGGGAAGAAAGAAAGAAACTGCAACACATTCGCCATTGATTACGATTCTTGGCCATATCCGATAACGTTTCGAGTCATCGATTCGAGCTATCACGCGGACCCCGACCAGGGAGTCGTGACGCACCAACCGATGCTAATCTAGCACAAACATCCTTAATCCTAAGACGTCAAGTCATGGACTGACCACCGCTACGCTTTTTCTATGCCATCCCAGGGCTAGCAAACAGTCATGTACGGAAGCTTCTTGGATGAGATTTGCAGCACATTTTCCAGCCATTGTAGCCGGTGTTTCCAGATGACGACACTCAATGAATGGTGATCTCCACTGTGTTCAAACATACGCCGCCGAACCTCATAATTACTCACGCGATGATGCCATCGAACGCAAGCAATCCTGCAGAGACAGTGATGATCGAATACTCAGAGTCACCTGGGAGAGGCTAGGTTTCATAAGCGTAGAGCAAGACAGCCCGCACCGAAGCATTGTATACCCGACCTTTGACAGCCAGTCTAACGTCATGATGGCGCCATAGGTGGCTCAAGTTGATGTATACCACCGTGGGCCTCATTGTACGGTTGGAAATCTCATCCGTCATTCCTCCGCCAGCACTCGTACAACTAACCAGATACACAAACTTATCAACAACTTCAAGCGGCTAACCCGCAAAAGTGAGTGTACGTACAGGCTCATGCCAACCTTGCAACAGTGCTCTGCACTTAGACGGCGAAAAACACATACCATACTTACAGACTCTGATCGCCAACTGATTAAGTGCGATTTGGACAGCCTGCATGCTCTATCGCACAGTAAGACGATATCGCCTGCATACTCGAGGTCGACAAGTCTCTCTCCAGGGGGCAGATCTACACCACCTTCACGCACATCCTTCAGAGCTGACTCCAGAATGTCATCGATGGCAAAGTTAAGGAGAAATGGAGAGATTGGGCAACCCTGTCTAACCCCACTGTTGTTCGGGAACAGTGATGATAGTTGGTTGTATGCCCTCACTCTACCTGAGGTGTTTCTGTATAGGGCTTTCAAGATGTTAACAAATTTCTCAGGTACACCTCTCTGTAACAGACAGTTCCACAGAACTTTGCACCCTCACAGAGCAGTTCAGGTCGCCACACTCCATGTAGCACACAAAGCAAGAGAAAGAAGAAAGTAGAAGAAATGCATAATAGAGACAGTAAACCGAGATATTAGCCAAAGAGAATAGTAATATGGAATAACAATATAGTTTCATTGGAAATCATAAGTCACAAGGAGTGGATGCATCCGTGCTGCCATTGACAACGATTTTGAGCCATATCACCAATTGTTTCCAACCATTGATTTTTACCGTCTCGAGGACCCCAACCAGCTAAGAAGTCTACACCTTCCTACGTGGCTTAAACTAACTGTTGTGGATTTCATTGACTGGTGAGGCCATGTTTTGGTTTGGCCACCGCTGGCTCTTTTCCAACTTGATCCTATGTTAGCTAACATTGCCCATTGTCGAGGGAGGCGATGACCAGGCATGTGTAACACATGTTCTAACCATCTCAACCGATGTAATTGCTACACAACCTCGTCGATTGATTTCCCCTCCTTACCTAGGACTCGACTGAAGCCTAACCTCAATATTGCTCACCCTATACACCACTTCACACGGGAGATAGAACGCAGGCACCTATGATCAAAGATAGCTAGTCTTTTCATGTCTTCCACTCTCAATGGCCAGGTCTCGATCACAGCCATGATGGAGGACGGAGTGGACTTCGGAGCGGTACACCCGCCCTTTGGTCGACAGCCAGACGGATATCACGTCTACCCCAGAGACGGCGTGAACTGGCATATCCGAAACTAGCCCACTGTATCCGTACTCAGCTGAGATTTCGTCAGAGATCAACCCGTAGGCGCTGGCTGATGGTACTTCCCAAGTAAGTGAAGCGGTCAACGTACTCTACCACTTCACTGCCTATTTCTAAACTAGGAGTCAGTGTAGTCCAGTCTTGTAACATCATCTCACATTTGGCGGGAGCGAATCGCATGCCAAACGTTCGTAGATTGCAGCCCAAGGTGTTCAGAAGACTCTGTATTTTGTCAGCGTCCTCGCCTAGAAGGACTATATCGTCTGCATATTCTAAGTCAACGAGATTATTCCGTGGTAGCAAGTCAACCCCTAACACAAACTAACACTGTCGAAACATAAGTACTTATCATTACACAAGCAAATCCTTCTGATAAATCAGCGGAAGAACATGTTCAGAAAAACTGAGCTGAATGCTAGATGTCCTAAATTTATCTTTTAGTGTATCGATCTATATACTGGTGGGTCAAAGGAACGCAGAGGTCCCTTGCTAAGCTTATCATTTAGAAATGCAAAATTACCTCTGTCTGTCTATCTGTATTCAACACAGAACTTGGCACCGAAGTGCAGCTGTTCGAGTTGCCATGTTCCAAATAGCACACAAGCGCGCACAAGAAGATGAGTGAAGAGAATCAATAGAGTTTGACAGGTATAAGAGCGAAACAGAATGGGTTATGGTAGAAAGAAATATGAAAGATTACAGAGACTGAATACATCTACGCTGGCCATTGACAACAATTTTGAGCCATGTCACCTATTGTCTCCAGCCCTTGATTCCTAGAGTCCCGAGGGCCCCAACCCGGAAGTCTGTATCTCCCAACCTGACTTAGTTTAACTGTCAAGGATTTCATGGATTGATGCCATGTTTTTGTTTGGCCACCACTGGCTCTTTTCCAACCTGAACCTATATCAGCTAGTAATGCTCGCCGGAGGAGGCGATGGTTAGGCTTGCGCAGCACGTGACCTAGCCATCTCAATCTATGTAACTTTATAGCCTCGTCGATTGATTTTCCCTCTTTGCCCAACACTCTACGCCTAACGTCAACATTACTTACCTTACTAAACCACCTAACTTGAGAAAGATATCACAGACATCTATGATCGAAAGCAGTCAACCTTTTCATGTCTTCAACTCGTATTGGCCATGTTTCAGAGTCATAGAGAAGGACGGAGCGAACTGATGAGCAGAGCACACGTCCCTTGGTTGATAACCGGATGTCACGCCTACGCCAGAGATGGTTTAAGTCAGCGAAAGCAGCTCGAGCTTTTCGGATCCGTGCTGAGATTTCATCGCCAATCAGTCCGTTGGTGCTAATACAACTTCCCAAATAGGTGAAGTGGTCAACATGTTCTATCACTTCACTCCCTATCACTAAGCTAGGAGTTGACGTAGTCCAGTCCTGTAGCAGCATCTAACATTTTACAGGGGCGAATCGCATGCCAAACATACGAAGATTGCTGCTCAAGGTGTTCAGAGGACTCTGCATTTTGTCAGAATCCTCCCCTTACAGGACTATTTCATCTGCATATTCTAAGTCCATAAGACTAAGTCGTTCAGTTCAGTTAAGGATACTTCCATTAGTATATCTATGATGAAGTTAAACAGAAATGGGGAAAGTGGACATCCCTGCCGGACACCACTGGTTGTTATCAATTCAGGTGACAATTCCCCATAAGCCCTTACACGACTACGTGAGTTTGAATAGAGTGCCTTGATTAGTGCAATGTACTTTCTTGGCACTCCCTTCACAGTCAAACATTGTCATAGTACCCTTCGATCCACGGAGTCGAAGGCCGTCTTCAAGTCAAGAAATATGACGATTGTTGGACGCCGAAAAGTGTGTCTATGTTCTAGAATCTGTCGGAGAGTGAAGATATGATCTATGCACCCTCTACCTGGTCTAAAGCCTGCTTGATTTTCCCTCGTTTGTTCCTCCCGAGGTCTGCGCAAAAATACCTAACAGTATCTGTAGTAAAATATCTCCGGCCATACTGCCGACTCAAAAACACAGCTTTCCGAGTAATAAAAGATTATACCTAATACAGAAATGGTGCTAATCCGTCGAGTGAGATCTAACGTATGTGCATAAAATGATTTCATAGTTATCCTTGAATTATCTTTTATTTTCCCACAGATACAATAACTATTTACGTCCTTCGTTCTCCTGTATTATTTATTTGTTACTTTACATATCCTTTTTTGAAAATCATTCTTATTCCTATGCTTTTCTAATTGTTGTAATTAAATTTTCTCTGAATTATGGTTTTTATACATCTTTGTACTGTCATCTCTTCATTCACATCTCTCATTTTTATCTTATATATTTAGTTACTCGAAAAAGTATATCAGATTTCATACCACCATGAACTTTAATCATACCTTATCATTAGCATTAGTTGGATTGTTTTGTTTATTGATCGACTCGATGTTATGCTGTGTTAGCTTAAAAAAATTGGGTATGCTCTTGGTTAGTCTTATCTCATCTCTGAACTAAGTCAAATTGTTTGAAACTGATACTGACATCATTTTAAACATAACATGTGCTCAGAATTTTAAACACGAAAAAGAACTCATAATGCTTGTTGTTCTTAGTTTACAGAATTTTACTAGCTGTATATTTCTTTTTAATTAACTGATTGTCTTTCATATACGAGTTACCAGTAAGGCTTGCGAACAAAGCGTTAATTACAAAAATGGATGCATAGCACTAAAGACTACTGATTGATTGGGATGAGTAGTGGTTTACTACTCACATTACCCAATGGCGCTTGATAGCCAGGTCGAAGTGATCTAAGTGACAGGCTTCCGTTTGGCTCGTTCGGAATCGAGTCCATCAGTGGTGTACACAGTTTGACTCAGCTCAGAGAGCCGTATCAGTTAACAGCACCCGATTTCTGGCTAGCTAGTTGACTAACTAGTAAGACTATAATTCGTATTCTTATGGAGTAGGATAAAACGCGTCCAGTCTGTTCCGTCGGTATCTTCTAAGCTTCATACAACCTAAATAATAAAAGTCAATAGTTTTATCACAGTTTTGATATATTTCGGTTCACTGGAGATTAGGCGTCAAGGGTAAGAATGATCTCATGGTTCAGGCATGAGTCAAATCCTTTATCAATACTTGCATATTCAGTTTATAGTGCTTAAAGTCTGTCTGTCTGGATTCAACATAGAACTTGGCACCGAAGTGCAGCAGTTCGAGTTGCCACGTTCCAAATAGCACACAGAGGTAGACAAGAAGATGAGTGAAGAGAATCAATATAGTCTGACAAGTATAAGAGTAATTAAAGTGCCCAACCAGTGAAAGCAAGGTGTTGGGATAAAATACAAAATGCGTTACTGAATAACGAGACTGACCTCAAGACATAAAATAAATCAAATGCTGCCAAAAATTAAAGAATAATGATAATAGTACTTATAAAAATGATAGTAAAGTGGAATAAAATAAACTTAAAAGAACATTGTTAAAGCAAGAAAATGTGTTTCGCAAAACTTTCTTAAACATGAACCATGAATTTTCAGTTACTTAAGCCGAACACCTAGTGTTTCAACTTACCTCTAGTAGATTACTTAAAAAAAAAGAATCATAGGGAGCTGTAATATATCTATTAAGAGGCCTACAAAGGGATGATATTGGCATCCTACTGTCACATCTTGCCAATCAAAGTGATTATTGTCTGGCATTGCGTTCCTGCATGAGTAGCCGCAGCAGTCAGTGTTATTGGCTCTACAGGATTTTGTGAAGCGATGTAATGTGATGTAATAATAATAATTACTTCGAGCATAAGCTGTAGCTTACTTTTTACACAATGTCTAAACAGCACGAATGGAGAAAATTTGACGTTCGCTGTTAAACTATGGTGTACTTAGTGCACTCATGTGAACGACTCTTTACTATGGTAAGTATTGTATTCCTTTAAAATCCCAAATACGTAATTTGTGTCTATGGTGTGCGCTACTGACAAGGACTGTCAGCAGTACGCAGATGCATATTGATGTGGAGTAGCCAAAATTTAAAACAACATCTTAAATCAATGGTTACAGAAGTAGGCGCTTTCATTTCTCCAGTCTGGATGTAGCTTACGTTGTTGTCAGGACGTAGTTTCAAAGTTTAACCTTTAAGAAATCGGCAACCGCCAACCTAGCGCCGACCATAAGTGTGATTGAAAATGCATAAATATGTTGTGTTTTCCCTCAATGAAAAAGTTCGTTACCAAGTCTCTTGTCTTCTCCCTTTACATGTCTGCCTAACGATACAATAGGAAAAAGTCGGGCTGACTTATTTCTTTGATTCTGTATCACTAAGCTTTCAAAGGTAAACGTTATTTGAGGGTGTTTTATAGCGCTTTGAAACCTTCATCGATCATACCCTAGATAAAGTTCTTTTGAATTCCTCCACACACTATTTGTTTTCTTGCTCTTTTTATAAAGTCGATCTATTCGCTGCGTGAAAATGTCGTCAGTGTATTTCATTGGTATAGTTGCTTTCAACTTAATAAAATGTCTTTTAATTGAATGAGTGCAGGCGTCTCGAGATTTCAGAGTAAATTTAAGGTCTTATTTGTTTTTGACTTTAAATTTAAATTTCTTGGAATTAAATAGTTTATCACTTCGTTTTTCGACCATTTTTCCTACAGCATATACTTCATAAAGACTTATTTTTCTTTTTTCTGAAACCGTATATATCGAAGATAGTGGACATTTTTAATGGATTTCTTTTTCTCCTGCCTCAGACATCCCCTTTGGAATAGAAGACTTATGAATCAGTTGTTTTGGAGTAGTGTTATTTGTCTTATATCTTCGATATCTACTCTGTTCGCCTACGAATATGGAAATCAAGAGTTATTTGATTTAGTCTTAGGCGTTTGCTTTTACGGTAAGTATAACAATCTCCCTGATTTTCCTTTTCTAACAACGGAAAAATGTGTGAGTTTAGAATACATTTTCAAAACTTAGATCTTTACTATTTTTTATCTGATATACTTACTAACCGCTGGCTGTACTTTTAATTTGCAACCTCTTTATTTGTGTGTATATTCTGGTTTTCTGATGGCCCTGTTTCTGCAGGTGCACGTAAAGCTTTATACTACTTTGTAGTTTCAGTTACATTGCGACTCACTGATTTGATGTACTCAGCTTTCAACTACTAGTTCACACTTCCAAACTCGTTTTTTTATTTTTTTTTTTTATATTTTTGATTACAGCTTGATTCCACACTGTATTTTTGGTACAAGTATGGAATTTTCAGCGTGGATATCGGTAGCCCAAAATCCGCAGGCCGACCATAGATATCGGGTGTGCGTCGGCGTGGGTTCGAACCCCGGACCATATGCATGGTAGGCGAGAGTCCTAACCACTGTGCCACCGACGCACATATATATAACGAGATTTGGCGGCGAGTTATTATCATCGGTGATGTACAAATAACGTACCTAATAATGCTTTTAAAACTAAAAGTAGAATTGGGTTTGCAATGGCTTCCTCAACTGAAGAATCCATACCTTATCGGAATTTAATTTTATCGTGAATGCACTTGACATGAATAAAAAAAGTAAATGCCGTTTAATTTAGTTGACAGATTAGTTAGTTAGATGCAGTTAAAAGTTACTGGAGAGATTGCATTCTCTCAAATAACACTTTTTTTGAGACATAGGGAAGGTTGATATTTATAGTTCTAGATAGCGATGCTGAGTCGGTATTTTTTGAGTTTTAACGTACCTATGTGACTCCGTTGGTAAATATTTCATTGAATCGGTTGAATACTAGCTTTCAACCGAAGACACAGTTTCATTTTCTTTGTGCATATGTCCTAAAATTCCATATCACACTAATTGTTGTTTGAAAGAAAATCTTTCCTTCTCCTTCTCAGCGGGGATATAGCTGTCTGGTTTTTGCACTCAACTTTAAGCCAGAATTCTCTCTCCACCCAGTTAACCTAGGCGACTGGATAATGCCATCTACCTTCATTCTCTGGACATGTTATGGTACTCAACAACCACTTGCATTTTAATTCTGTTGGTAATGAGTCACACCTATTGTGTAAGACCTATTCATACTGGACTTCTTCTGTTTTGGATAACAGGTTTTTAACTAAACAATTCTTTTACTTAACAACATGGAACACTTGTTGCCAGTGCAAAAAGGATACCGCTGTCAGAAATACAACACAGTTGAGTAGTATGACTTATAAGTTTTCGAGCTCATTCCTTAAATTAAAAGATCTGAATTAAGCGATCAGTTCGTATTACAAACGCTTGCAGGAAGTATGGTTCATGGTCTAGTATATATATATATATATATATATATATATATATATATATATATATGGCTTTATAGAAAACCGGGCCGAGTTTATTTCCCATTTCATTATGTGATAAATGATTAGTGCATATAGTATTAATTTTTTTCTCTATGTAATGAACATTTTCATGTTCATTATACTAATATACTTATTTTTCTTCGTTTCTGACCTTATATTTTCAGTCTTTCATTATTCTGAATGGTGCTTATATATGACGATTAGCATTTCGGAATCTTGGTTATTCGTTTCTTCACTAATCAGTATTGCATTTGTATTTTTGTAAGCAGAATTATTATCATTATTTTTTATTGTATTTTGTTTGAATGTATTTCCTGACCAAAATTTATTCCATTATTTTGAATGAACTTATGCACCTTAATTTCACTGATGAACAGTTAGTTGTCTTATCAATACTTAATTCATTCTTTAGACACTACATAAACTAAATCTATTGATCTTATGTAAAACGTAGTGAACACTAAGCATCTAAATTACTTAAACTGTTAAACTTTTCGTCAGAGATCATTCGTGTATAAATGTAACCTTTATATAGTGTGAAAATTGTGGAATGCATTAGGAAAAATTTCCAATAATGTTATTTGGAATATGTTGCTTGGCTGATGATTTAGTTGGATCGCATACGTCATTGGTTCGTTGGTTTGGACACTAGACTTTCAACCAGTATAACGTCACGGGTCTAGACACTATTTCGTCTAATTGGGTGTTTGCAATCAGTCATCAACCCTTATTAAACAGATGTTGTATGAGGTTTTCTATTTTTCGACTGATGTATGCATAGTAGTATCAGTAGTAGTAGTAGTAGTAGAATACAATTAGGAAACTATTTGACAAAACGTTTCTTACGAAGTATACAAAGCGTCGGTTAGAAAACCATTGTAAAACCTGGGAATACTGTACAGCCAGCTGTCTCATCCTCGTAGGAGACTGTTTAGCAGTACACACCCACCACAGGGGTTCCAACCCAAGACCTTCCAGTTACAAGCCGAGCTCGAAGACCGCTAAGCCACTGGGACCCGACCTAATAGCCCACGAATTCTAACTCCTACCAATTCACTACTCAGCGTGACCACTAGCCAATGTCTTCGGCGAGTATTTGTCCTCACGCCCAACCAGCTGTACCCCACTGATCACGACTTCTCGCCAGAATACCCGGGTAACTACCTACATGAATAGGTCCAGTCGCTAGTGAGCATCTCATTGACATTAAATGTCAACCAATGTCAGCTCATGATAAAATCCTGTAACCGATACATCAAATCCCTACTAACCAATACTTGAGTATATAAAGCAGTCGGCTGAATTAAAACAGTTACTTAAGTTAAATATTTTCTATTTTTCTTAGTGTACACTCTAAACCATGTACACACTACACATTCATTTGTATTGAACCAAGTCATTAGTAAACGGAAGTCGAATGAGAAATTCAGGTACATCCAGATGAGGTGCCCAGAATAGGACGAAATGTGCATCCTGGATTCCACTGCTAGTCACCATCCACCAATCAACTTGAAATTCGAATAGGTTAATTGAGTTAGTTACTTACTGTAAACTACAAACAAGTGTTATGATTTTCTTCATAAAATGTGCTTTACTAAGTTCTCATCTAATTGATTATTATGATTATTACTTTAGTATTTATGGATTCATTCTGCTGCGAGCACCTTGATCTAATCATGAGCAATAAATTTTGGTCGTAACATCATCAGTAAATGAACAGCACTGTATCACTGTTTTTTTCTCTCTGTAAAATAAATTATTTCATGACAGGATTTCACTCTACCACAGTGCCCAAATTCTACTCATATATTCTGTAATTTTATTTCTTCTTATAGATTGTTTGCAATTATAAAAGGAAGTAGCGTGAGGAATAGCACATTTTACGTCTTCAGTCGGAGATCTAAAATTCAGCTATTCAATTGGCACGTCTTTTCTACATGCTGTTTGGTGCCAGCATTATTAAAACTTGTTTTACTCTGGATAAATAGGTTTATCACCGATTCTTCTCAGCAGAATGTAATGGATCACCGGGCATATTTTGAGAAGGGTTTTGTGCTGGGATTGTATTTAGTTATTCTGGGATTTGTTTGCATTGAAAGGATACATCTTTTTGCAAAAGAACTGACCACCTGGTTACTGAAATTTCCGATACTGACCTCATATTTCAGACAGGTTAGTTTTTTGTTTAGGAAATAACTTGAATTGTATAGTATGGCGCGAACTAGTCGTGTCAAAATTACTTAAATAATACCTGATTCTTATCTCTGATTAGGTTGGTTGTAAACGGCTGGATATGTTCAGTTTTTTTTGTTCACTATGAATTAGCTAGTACACATATCTGATTAGTGTTAGTAGTCCAAATTTATTGGGCCAAAGCATTTATTTGAAGAATCTTTAAGCTTGGTATTTTGAAATCAAGCTGCTGTAATACTTACTGACTGCTATGGTGCTAAACGTTTCGTATAACCATACGGCAGTGTATTGCCCCGTGTTCCAATTTCCTTCAGTTTATCCATCTAACCACTGACCCATGTACATAAATGTACGGATTTCCTAACTGTGAACCATATTGTCAAAGGTAGTTTTGAAAATGGTATACATATTTACCGTCTGTTTCAGTAACTAATCATCCTGGTTGATGAACTGTTAAGTTGTTGGCGATAAAAACTGACTGTAGAGTTTGCTGTATTGTAGCGTCAAGCGAATTACAAGTGAGAAAGTTTTACTTCTACAGTCGATCTACTATGAAGGATAAATGCGGAAAATTGTGGATAACCGTATGCCATATAATCGTATCCTATACCATTTTGTTTACTGCTGCGTACGTCTAAGTTAAATTCTTATCAGTTTAGATAATTAAACTGGAGTATGCTGATTCCGAAGCTTACACACCTTATTGTACTAGAATTACGATATTAATTGAAGGTGGTATAGCGATTAGGACGCTCACCGACCGTGCACATGGTCCGGGGTTCGATCCCCGGCCACAGACGCACTCCTTTACCTCGCTGAGCCAGAAATAATGGTGGTAAAGAGGGAAGGCTGAGCATGAGGCTAGCAACCCCATCCTGAAAAACAAACACTGCTACAGAAACTGTAGCCACTAGCTTAAAGCCCTATGTTCCACTTGGGAACGTGAAGAAATTGAAGGTTATCACTTAAATTCAGTTTATGTGTTTGATTGTGCTATATACCCAAGCTCAGGTCTGAGAAAGACGATTCCAGTTCGTTCTAAACCAAAGACGTACTAAACTGGTTGTGCGTAGCTTTTTCCTTTGTGAGGGGATGGTCTTATAAACAAATGATTTTGCCTAATTTTAAAAACATATAGAACCCGAACTGTCTGTCTGTTTTCGACATAGAACTTTGCACCGGTCCACGGCAGTTCAAGTCGCACACTCCATGTAACACGCAAAGCAAAAGAAGAAGGTAGAAGAAATGCATAATAGAGACAGAAAACACAGGTGTGAGACGAAGAAATAGAAGTAACGAAGAACAATGTGGTTTTATTGGAAACCATAAGTCGCAGAGAGTGCTGCGCCATTGAGAAGATTTTGACCCATACCACCAACTGTTTCCAACCATTGGTTTTTACCGTCCCGATGACCCCAACCAGCTAAGAAGTCTACACCTTCCTACGTGGCTTAGACTAACTGTTGTGGATTTCATTGACTGGTGAGGCCATGTTTTGGTTTGACCACCACTGGCTCTTTTCCAACTTGATCCTATGTTAGCTAACATTGCCCATTGTCGAGGGAGGCGATGACCAGGCATTGTAACACATGTTCTAACCATCTCAACCGATGTAATTGCTACACAACCTCGTCGATTGATTTCCCCTCCTTACCTAGGACTCGACTGAAGCCTAACCTCAATATTGCTCACCTTATATACCACTTCACACGGGAGATAGAACGCAGGCACCTATGATCAAAGATAGCTAGTCTTTTCATGTCTTCCACTCTCAATGGCCAGGTCTCGATCACAGCCATGATGGAGGACGGAGTGGACTTCGGAGCAGTACACCCGCCCTTTGGTCGACAGCCAGACGGATATCACGTCTACCCCAGAGACGGCGTGAACTGGCATATCCGAAACTAGCCCTCTGTATCCGTACTCAGCTGAGATTTCGTGAGAGATCAACCCGTAGGCGCTGGCTGATGGTACTTCCCAAATAAGTAAAGCGGTCAATGTGCTCTGCCACTTCACTCCCTATTTCTATGCTAAGAGGTAGTGTAGTCCAGTCTTGTAACATCATCTTACATTTGGCGGAAGCGAATCACATGCCAAACATTCGTAGATTGCAGCTCAAGGTGTTTAGAAGACTCTGTATTTTGTCAGCGTCCTCGCCTAGAAGGACTATATCGTCTGCATATTCTAACTCAACGAGATTATTGCCTGGTAGCAAGTCAATCCCTGAGTCGCTGAGGTCACTTAGGGTTGAGTCCAATAGTACGTCTATGATGGAGTTAAATATAAATGGGGATACTGGGCATTCTTGGCGAACACCACTAGATGTCATCACTTCAGATGACAACTTGCCGTAAGGCCTCACCTGGCTGCATGAGTTCGAGTGGAGTGAGTGCCTTAATCAGTGCAATGTATTTTCTCGGGATTCCCTTTACAGCCAAGTATCGCCAGAGTACCTATCGATCGACAGAATCGAATTCCGCCTTTAGGTCAAGGAATATAACGATTGTTGGACGCCGGTAGGAATGACTATATTCTAGAATCTGTCGGAAGGTGAAGATATGATCAATACACCTTCTTCCTGGTCTAAAGCCTGCCCGGTTCTCTCGTGTTTGTGCCTCCCAAGCACCACTTAGTCTTCTCATGATTATTGAGTATAGGACTTGAGATACTATATCAGTCAAGCTAATCCCTCCTTGATTATCATAGGTAGACTTGTCTCCCTTCTTGTATATGGGGATAATCAGTGACTTACACCAACCCGAAGGGACTTCCTCTGATTCCCAGACGTTGCTTAGAACCTCAGTTGGCGCAGACAGTAAACTGTCTCCACCGTACTTAAATACCTCTGGAGTCATTCCATCAGGTCCCGCTGCTATGCCTTGTTTCAGATTGGTGACAGCTTTAGTAACCTGAGTTAGGGACGGAGGACCTGTCTCTATATCCCATTCAGAGAGGTGTTGGATGTTCGGCAGGTTGAGCTTGGCTGTGGGCCAATTAAACTGCTCCTCATAGTGCTCTTTCCAGCAGTCCAGTCGTCTATCCTGGGAGCTAATTATTTGTGCCATTTTTGCTAAAACAATTATACCTGAAGGTTTTGCTTTTTGCAACAAATTAGACAGTTTCAGGTAGAAGTCATCCAATAGTTCATTCGAACTGCAGTCTGTTGGGGGTGTAAACGGAGACTACGAAAAGGCGACGAGGGGTAGCGCCGTCTTTCCTTCTTTTAGCGGACCCATTCAGACCGACCGCACACATGCGACTACCTACTGGGATCCAGTCAAGAAGTGCATTTTCCCCCCTAACAGTCAAAGCTATCCCTGCACCTGCGAGTCCTCGCGAGCTAGCTGAGGGGCCTTCTGACACCCTTAAAGTGAATTTTGCAGATTCACCTTGTTGACCAGGTGAAGTTAAATGAATTACCATACTGGGGTCTTGTATGCGTGTCTGAAACACAACATACATCCATGGCTCGAGATGCCAGAGTTCTTGTTAGTGGTACCTGTTGTCCGATTAGGTCGAGGGTCCTGACGTTAAATGCTCCCATATGAAGTTGTCAACGTGGCTTTAAAAGGCTATCTAGGGTGTTTCTATGGCTATCATCGTTGTTTGTGGTCACAGGTTTAAGTGAAGATGACTTACTAGCGTGGAGAATAGTACTAACTGTAGTAGAGAAGCAAGATGGGAAGGTGATTTGAGTAAAGGAGAATGGTGCTCAGGAAGGCTTCGTGTGCTCTTGGACGTGTGTGGACGGTTGTTACTTCTTGGCTGCCCACACAGTGAAAGTTGATTGATTCTTCGGTTACCTGAAACAGAAAGGGGGTTAGTGTTGCGTAACCGCAGAACCCAGGGGACAACTGCTTGAGACCGGTCACATGCGACCTGTATGAATTGGTTTCTGGGATTGGTTCCGTATTAGTAAACTTACCGCCGGTTACGGACCACCGTAGGGTAAGTCGGGATGTATAATTTTTGGGGTCGACCTTTTCTAACCCCCTCTCTCCAGAAACGAGAGACAACATAGCTGGCTGGTATGATGGCCATTTGAGGGAAACACCTCACTGTTGTTACACCCTTGTTCCCCAGCAGTACGACTTCCCACTCAGACCCCCAACAAAGCGTAAGAAAGATTGTTACAGGATGCCGGTAACTGCTTTTAGTCTAATCGCTATCCTAACAACCTTCCTGGCAGGATAGGACCTGCAGGAACGAACATTGGTTCCAGCCAGTGCAGCTTGTTGGGTCATCGCGATATGCAAGCCCGACCACCACTTCAAGGTAGCAGCTATCGGTCGGGTGGAACCTAAACAAATTTGAACCATTGGATAGATTATTCATAATGCCACCGGACAGCCTTGAAGCCTGAACTTAAGCAACCAATTAAACTTGTCATGTATTGACTTAACTTTCCGAAGTTGATAATATTTATATGTAGTGTACTTTTGTATCATAGTAGTCGATTATTCTCACCAGCTCGGTCCAGTTTGACTTCTAACTTTATTTGCCTAGGCCGCCGTCTGGGGTGATCGGAAATTAATACCAGTACCCAGTCTTCAAATGAGTTACTTTTCGCCTTCTGGTAGTGAATCCTAGTTGCAACGATATAGACCCATTTCAAATTTTAGCACCGTTAATGAACCCGAACAGCTGCATTCTTCTCGTACATAATAGTCAGCATAAAGAGTTAGTCTTTCTGTGATAGTGGTATTTCATACAAATTGATTCATGGGAAAATAATTCTAATAAATCAATTTCAATCGGCATTCGAAAATTAAACAAGCATCCACCAAATACTGTATCGTTGTCCCTGGATTATACATCAATTTTATTTCCCATACAGATTTCAGCCTGCTCTGTTGTAATTGCTACAAATTAGAATTTGCTGTTGAAATACATGTTTAAAACAGTTGCCTAACATAATCACTTAGGGAACAGTGAGATTCCTAATTGGTCACACTTAATACCTCTTAGATACACAGTTTGGTTTACTTTTTAGTGAGATCCAGGTACATCTGACTGACTACTCCTAAATGGAAAAATACGTGTTGTGTGTTCTACTGCTAACGACAGTCAAATATGTGGGCTTATATATGTATAGAGTTCTTAATGAGCAGTAACTGTTTGTATGTCAGTGATGAATACCGTAAATAATGCAGTTCATATCAATCGTGACAATAATAACTTCAATGTTAAAAAATAATATCGTGTTGGTGTGCAGGGATTTGACTGGTTGCAGGTTCGATCATGAGTTGACATCAGTTAGGGAACCATTGGAAAACCTGCGAGTACTGGACAACTGTCTCATAGTAGTTTGGGACTCTTTAGCAGTACGCACCCAGGGGGGTCTGGACCCAGAAACAAGGTTTTCCACTGATTTCCCAAATGATATCAAATCTCTGAAAAATAATAGTTATCATTACAGGTGATAGTAATAATCATGAACATGTAATCAAATCATGTCGAAATTTGCCTAATACCATAGGTGAGGCTAATGGACAGCCAAGTTTTAAGGAAATTAATAGAGATACATTGAAGGGCTAAAAGGTGAGCGTAGACTATGATTCTCAGTCTTAGAGTCGTTTATTTGTTTAACCTGATCATGGAATAGATTATTATTATTATTACTATTTCCTTATTATTATATCCTTTAATTCCTAGAGAAACATAGGGCTTCAGCCGCGCGTCTCCATTGCCTTCTGTTTTCTGCCAACTTTTTCACCCCGCTCCAAGTCTGCCCACATGCTTTCATCTCCTCTTCACATGACCTACTCCAAGTCACCCTTGCATTGACGACCAACTCGCCGCTTCCCTTTCGGGTTCCATTCGAGGGCTTGTCTAGTGATATCATTTGATGGTTTCCTCAGAGTATGGCCAATCCATCTCCATTTCTTCCTGCTTATTTGTTTCACAATTGGTTCCTGGTTGGTTCGCTTACTACCAGAGATCCCTGTTTCTGATCTTTTCTGGTCGGCCATCTGATCTTGAGTGGTATTGAGAGAAGACAAATGTTAATGAAGGTCTGTATTTTGTTTGAGGTGCTCTTTATGACGCGCCGGCCAAGTCTCTGATCCATATAGTAGCATTGACTTCACACTGGAGTTGAAAATCCGGATCTTATTTTTGATCCTGAGTGCTGTTGACCTCCACACAGACTTAAGAATAATGAAAACTTGCTTTGCTTTCCCGATCCTCGCTTTGATATCCCTGTCAGTTTTAATTGGCCTGTGGTTGAAAAGATACTTCCCAGGTAGGTAGGCGAAGGAGGTTGTTTGTTTCAGGTTCCTCCCATTTATGCTGATTGTTGTCTGTTGTTGTTGTTGCTGCTGCTGTTGGTGTTGGCCAGGAATCATCATCACCTCTGTTTTATCTATGTTCACCTGAAGTCCTATCTTTGATGCTTGTTCTGCCAACTTGTTGCTTTTGACTTGCATATCTTCCAGTTTGTGGGAAATCAGACGTATATCACTAGTCAAGTTCAGATCCTCCAAGTTTTGTCTGAGGGTCCATTTTATGCCTGTTTCCTCGCTGCCCACTGTCTGTCGCATTATTCAATCTACTGCAATTAGGAAAATCATAGGCGATAGTAGTCAGCCTAGTCTTACTCTCGTCTTCACTTGGAAGGATTCCGTAAGTTTCCCGTTGTGGATTACTTGGCATGCAGCATTGTCGTACAACTGGAATAGATAGAGGTAGGATAAATGTCCTTTCAACATAAAGAAGGTTATTTTCTTGAATCCTCGTTGCTTAAATCTTGTTTAAAGAGACGACGTAGGAGTTTGTTGTGTGTATAAAGTTTTAATCATAAAAACCGCACTTACCAAAACCTTTTCGTTACACAAATAAACTTTCAGCTGTTGTTTCACATTGATCAGTTTTGTGAATCTACCGTTTGATCAGTTACTTCAACAGGTGACACACATATGGACACTGACATATCATTACTGATTCACTAATAGTTTGCAATATTCATTTAGTGCATTTTGTAATTGAGCAAAATTAATTAATATTGGCCTTTTATTTCAAATATTTCAATCATACCAGATAGTAGTTTGCATCCAGTGTTTCGTTTTTTTCTTTTTTTCTTATTTGTTTGAATTCCTCTTTCTTTTTTCAGAATCATATCATCATTGAGTCAGTAACTTTAATAGCTTACTTTCATTGTGCTATCACATTGGTTTGGCCTCAGGTTCTCATACTAATGCATTCACAGACGGAAATGTCTGTAACTTCATATACATGCATATTGATCCAGTTATGTAAGTTAATTTAACTTTTCAATAGAACCAATCAAATTGTTGATTGTTCATAGTTTAAGATGAATGAAATAGGCATCAAAGCAAAAATAACATCAAATAGGTGTTATCCTCTTTGAGCTATTAAAAGACTTGTGTAGCACCTCTCAGTCCATGGCTTTCCTTGTCCATCAAAGTTATCCAGCATCCATCTAGGCTGGAAGAGAGTTAGAGGGTGACGGAGTCGAAACCTGAAATCATTATATAAAGTCTTTGATTGTTTGAGTCAGGCAGATAGGTGTAGACCGCTTGAGACGCTACGAACCAGTGAGTGGCGCTATGTTCCAAAAGTGTTCTCATTGACCCAGATGTATTCACTCCTCGTTATCTCTTTCAGATCCTCTAAATCCTCATTAATCTCTACAAAATTGGTTGTTTCTCCTGTAGATTTCCATTCACTGTAGTTTTTTTTTTGAATTTCTATTTTTATTTTCCTGTCAAATATGTACACTTATAAAGTGCGGCAACCTAAACTGCTGTACCTCTATGTAATATTCTACATAAAGAATTCAGTTTGGCATAGTTCGCATCCAACTTCATCTAATTTAATTTAGGTTTAGCCGTCACACACAGTATGTGTAGCTCACAATCAGTTTGATGAATGGATGAAAATTTATTCTAAATAATAAAGTTCTAAAATGCTGAGCTCCTGATGTATTACGAAAATAAAATAATTACCAGATTTGTTATTGCACACAAAGATAATTGTCAAATGCATTTTCAGTCGTCTGTAGCACATTATTCGTTTGATTATATGAATTATGAAATTTATGTCTCATTTAATCACACTATAAATAGTGTTATTTCAATTATTTTTAGCTGCTTCATGTCTGATGACCAGCTTAGCTCAAATTCTACCGTCTCTGTTTCGTATAAATTGGTCTAATGCTGAAATGTCTACACATAGTCGTTGTCTTGGCAAACTTGGCTTTTTACTATTAATGTGGTTTGTTAATTCAAGACAGTTAGATCTAACTTTGTCTGGGTATGTTTTTGACCCAATGTTCTCTTTTTTTTCATTATATAGTTACACACATTATGTTCGAATAAAATGTGAATTTTTCACTTCAGTATATGTAGACTAACTTACTTTAGCATATTTTCGTGTTAATTTTTATGTCGATATTAGGCGAACAGAGTTATCGTAGTAACAGACATTTAGAAAATATGCCTTAAGCGATTTTATGCAAGTATCCTGAAATATCTGTGGCACAGCGGTTAGGACGCTCACCGACCATGCACATGGTCCGAGGTTCGATCTCCGGCCGACGCTTTCCATTACCTCGCTAAGCCACTAGTAAGACTGGTAAAGAGGGAAGGTTGGGCATGAGGCTAGCAACCCCATCCTGTAAAAATTAACACTTCTACAGAAACTTCAAGCCACTGACTTGAAGCCCTATGTTCCATTTGGGAATGTGAAGGAATAAAAAATAAAATTAAAAATCCCTCAATATGAAACTTTGCAGCATTTTCATTTCGACATCCTATTCTTATACTCGTCATACTGTAATAATATAAAATTGCAGGAAGAAGCAACAGGAATGTTGATAATTACTTCAGTTTTTAATGGCAGGATATATCAAGTTAATTATTTTATGTTAGAACAAAAGGCTTCAAGCTTGAGCTCTTAAGTTCCAGTGGCAGTGGCAGTGGTTTTATTTTCGTGGGGTAAAATTACTAGCCTCAAAGCCATGTACTTTTCATCTATGGGTTTTTAGTGTATGGTGGTCTTGTAAAATGGAAGTTTATTGGTAGGTATATACGTGGCAATAAAAAGTTGTAATCTAATCGTGTCCGCTTTGTGATATGTGGCCAACATTTCACCTTACTGAGACTGCTCGTGTGTTTTGCAGATGCTTGAATTACAAATTACTCCAGTCTTGCTTTGAGTTTATTCCCTCCCCCTCACCCTTAAGAGGATCATGGTTAAAGTGGAGTGGAACTCATTATCAGTGTAAAACTTAATCCAGACTTATAAGAGATTTTTGTTAAAATTGAAATGAACTACGTTGAAGGACAGTTAATAGTGTGTCACAGTTTAGTTGCATACAAAGAAACACTGAATTTCAGGAATTATTGCTGACTAATTCCGTCCAAAAGAAAAGACATTATTACAGTGCGCAATAGTTGATAGGATCCCACATATTTTGGTATTGACTGTCAAATCTCGCACATATGGTATATTATCATCTCTCACGCACTTTGTTATTGGCTATTAAGATAAATTATTTCAAATGCTGTTAGCTGTCCATATTGTTGTAAAATGTATAAATACCATGGCTTTCTTTGTCGTTGTTGCACTTCAATACACAGTCACAGTCCAGCCTTTGTCTTTTGATATTTGCGTGCTTTACTAAATCGGAAGGTACGACAAGCAGATAGGCAGATTAGTTCAGGCGCAGACAGAGCAAGGTGAAAACGTCTTCATTCAATTCCCTACAGTTATAACAAATTGGCGACGGGGTTTACCTTAATTCATTGCAGTTATAGCAAGCAAACGACGACAGTTTTTATTCTGTTCAGCGCAACTATATAACATTTTTGACTGTGTTAATTACAACCCAATTACAATGTCTATCTCTCTGGACGATCTCAAATCTATCTTGCAGCAGCAGCAAGTTCAGAATGAAGCAGCTCAACTAAAATTAATCGAAGCTCTCACTCAGAAGCTGTCCATTCAAGTTCCATCAACATCTCATTCTGACAAATATGAAAGCATCTCAAATTCCATCAGTGAGTTCAACTACGACCCAATATCTGGTCTCGTATTTGATGCATGGTTCAATCGTTACGAAGACGTCTTCCGTATTGAATGCTACATGTTTGATGATGCTGCCAAAGTCCGATTGTTACTAAGAAAACTTGGTACTGTTGAGCACAACAGATATGTTAACTTCATTCTGCCCAAGAACCCACGTGAGTTATCATTCGATGAGACAGTCACCGTTTTATCACAAATCTTTGGTGAACAGTCATCCATGTTTAATATTCGGTATCAATGTTTTCAGTTGACAAAAATGCCTTCCGATGATTATGTGACTTACGCTGGCAAAGTGAACAAGGAATGTGAAAGGTTCAAACCACACGAAATGACATCAGATCAGTTCAAGTGTTTGATTTTTATTTGTGGGTTGAAGAACCCAGAAGATACTGACATACGAACTCGACTTCTGTCACTTGTGGAACAAGACCCGAAAATGACTTTACAAATGGTGACAGCAGAATGCCTACGTTTAATCAACTTGAAGCACGATACTGCTATGGTGGAGTGCAAACGACAGTCGTCTGAATTTGGTTCGATTAACACAGTGAAAAGTCCTCCGATCACCGTTAAGCACACAGAACGTCAGTCTCAAAATTCAGCTAAACCTCCTTCAGTGTGCTGGCACTGTGGTTCGTGGCATTTTGTCAAGTTCTGTCCTTTCAAGAAACATAAATGCCGTAATTGTCACCGTTTTGGACATAAGGAGGGTTACTGTACACCGCAGAAAAATTCTTCGGTGAGGAACAGAAGTAGTCGTTTCAAGCCGAAACAATCTCCTCGAGTACAGACCGTTTTCACAACTTCCAAAGTCGAGTTCGCCAGCAAACGTAAGTACATAACACTAGATATTAACGGCAAACGTATTCGTCTTCAGTTGGATACGGCATCAGATATCACCGTAATTTCCCGAACTACGTGGCGCAAACTTGGTTGCCCACAGATTCTGCCGACCGAGCATGTCGCCAAGAATGTCTCTGGAGATATACTGAAACTCGTGGGTGAGATAAATTGCCAGGTTCAGTTTGGTGAGCATCACTTCAATGGTGTATGTTACGTTACAAACTACCATGATTTGAATTTGCTTGGTCTTGACTGGTTAGACAAGCTCCATATCTTTAATGTACCATTAAATTCAGTATGCTCTAATGTTTCGTCTTCACCACACAACGTTGTTCCCGGAGATGTATCTGATCAATCTCTCTTGCAACGCCGTCGTCAAAAGCACGCTTCTGTCTTCCAGGACAAACTTGGTTGCTGCAAACTGTTTGGCATCCAGCATATTCGTAGCCCCCCGTATCATCCCCAATCGAATGGACAGACTGAACGTTTCGTCGACACCTTTAAGCGTGCTTATGCAAAAGCGAAGGGGGAGGGAACAACAGAAGAAATTTTGGATAAATTCTTGCTGCATTATCGTACGAATGAAAAAGGACAGTTATGTGTCAGACACACAGATCACGCTCTATCCAGTACCACGCAAAGGTCAACTCGACAAAGAAGAGCTCCGAAACCTTTTCAAATAGATCCAAAAAGCAAGTCCTACACTCTTTACGGGGAGAGGTGATAGGATCCCACATATTTTGGTATTGACTGTCAAATCTCGCACATATGGTATATTATCATCTCTCACGCACTTTGTTATTGGCTATTAAGATAAATTATTTCAAATGCTGTTAGCTGTCCATATTGTTGTAAAATGTATAAATACCATGGCTTTCTTTGTCGTTGTTGCACTTCAATACACAGTCACAGTCCAGCCTTTGTCTTTTGATATTTGCGTGCTTTACTAAGTCGGAAGGTACGACGAGCAGATAGACAGATTAGTTCAGGCGCAGACAGAATAAGGTGAAAACGTCTTCATTCAATTCCCTACCGTTATAACAATAGTGTCGTGTTATTATTCAAATAGCATGTTCTGCTGGTAGATTAGATAGAGATAGCTACATTAATTTTGTCCAAATATAACGGATGTGTTTTTAAACAACTTCTGACTTCAAAGTGCTACATCAGTTGACAGAACACTCTCAGTGCACTTAACTAATCCAAAGTAAATAATTGTTTACGTAACACTACCTGATTGATTGCTAGTTACATAATGTACTGTTATTAGGTCGCCTTTCTTTTCTAACCACTTATTCCTTCTAACTTCTTAAGTGTGTACTAGAATCAAAAAACAAATATCTGTAGGTTTCATATATTTCCAATTTATTTCATACTTCAGGTATGAATATGCCCAATAAGCAAACAGTATAGATTATGCTGTAATAATGCATCAATCCATACTGTCGAAACAGAGAAACCTTTAAATAGAGTAAAATAAATAAACAAAGAAGACAAAGTATCTCAAGGTGAATCGGAATATGTAAACACTTAACAAGAAAAAAAAAGATGAAAACTAACCACGTGCTTATAATCCAAAGGCAAATAAAGGCTGTCGTATTGATTCCCTTACAAATGGTTTTCTCATCTCCATTTTACGGATTTTACGGATCTCATAAGTTCCGTTTGTTTGACTAAAACTAACTGCTTATAGACTGTGTCATATTATGGCTAGAATATTCAAAAACTGAATTCATTATACCAATATCTGACTGACTGCATGACTTTCAGAGAAGTGCAACAGCTCAAGTGAGCACTACTGTAGTGTTTACATTACATGCACTCTTGAAACGCCTGAAATCATTTAGCATAACTTCACTTTCGTAAACATACTATGACACCCAAATAAAAATAAAGTTCATTTGAAATATCATCTCCATGATATAATCAACGAAATGTTTATGTCTAATCCCGATATGTTGAAGTTAATCAGTTCGGGATTGAGATTGGGACAGTAATTGACTCCACTGATGTTACTGGGAAAAAATGTCTGTAAGTATGTTATGTGTTTTTCGCCGTCTAAGAGCAAATACTGTTACAAGATTGGCAGGAGCCTGTACCTGCACTCACTCCGGCGGGTGAACCGCTTGAAGTTGCCGATAAGTTCGTGTATCTGGGTAGATTTGTGAGTGCTGGCGGAGATGTGACGGACGAGATTCCCGACAGTATCATGAAAGATAGGGTAGCATGTGTCAACCTGAACCACCTTTGGCACCCTCGTGACGTAAACCTGGCTGTCAAAGGCTGTGTTTACAATGCCTCAGTGCGTGTTTTCTTACTCTACGTCTGCGAAGCCTGGCCTTTCTGAGCTGAGGATGTGCGGCGACTCTGCGTATTCGATTATCGCTGTCTCCACAGAATTGCTTGCGTTCGATGGTATCATCGCGCGAGTAATTCTGAGGTCCGGTGACGTGTGTTTGGACACAGTGGAGATCATCATTCGTTGAGTGTTGTCATTTGGAAACGCCAGCTCCAGTGGCTGGGACATGTGCTGCAAATCTCATCCCAGAAGCTTTCATACATGACTGTTCTCTAGCCCTGGGATGGCATAGAAAAAGCGTAGAGGTAATCAGCTCGTGACATGACATCTTAGGATGAACGATATTTGTATTAGGTAGGCATCGGTTGGTGCGTCACGACTTCCTGTTTACAGTCCGAGAGATAGCTCGAGTGGGTGGTTCGAAACGTTATCGGATATGGCGAAGAATCGCAATCAATGACGGACGTGCTGCAGTTTCCTTCTGTCTTCCTTTCCCTACGACAACTGTTGTTTGAACTAGTTAAATATAACTGTTTTCGTTCCAAATGAAGTGCCTTATCTGTTCTCTACCTGTAATTTTACTTTTAATCTACGGTGCTTTATTATTGTTGTGTGGTGCATCTTCTTGGTGCCATATTGTCCATTTTTGTGTTTAAATAAATAAAATAATACTGTAAAAAAGTGGTAATCAAAAATCCATGTGTGACCCTAGGTGGGAAGTGATGGAAGTCGTTCTCTACCCAAGTACTAGAGTGTATGCCTCGAAATCAGCAGGCAGTGTAATTATATGTCACACTGACCAACATTCACATCTTACCTCGCGTTCTTAGTGCCTGCACACTGTTATGTACATTTAAATGACAACTGAAGCCAATGGACTGTCATTCCATCTTGTATTTGTATCCTAATACAGTTTCTCATATAATTCTGATTTATATATACTGGCTATTGTAACAGTCTAACATTCACGGATCTATAACTGTAGGACCTTAAGAAGAACTTATTCCAAACAACTTTTCGCTCAAATTATTCTTGTTCCGAAAGTATACAGTGTAAAAGAAGACATATGTGCTAGATAAAATAGACTCTTTTTATTTTTATCTTGATATAAGAATACAGTTTGTGCATTACGGTAAATTGAAATTCCATCATGAATGAATTATATTTGATAAAAAATAGTCTTACAGTGTTGTTTATTTTCTGATGATGTTTGGAAATTGATTACTTATAACCATACCAAATAATACTGTCACTGTTTTTCTTTTATCAAATCAAAAGTGTTCTATCATGCAACTTTATTTCACATTTTTCTCTCTATAAGCTGCGTAACAGCGTGAGTAAATGAATAAGACGACATCGCCTTCAGTGTTCGTAATTCTTTCCATGTAGCATGACCTCTGGGCAGTTTTTCTTAGATTTTTTGGTTAAAATCCTTATCTAAGCTTCATGCTGTCTGAAAATGATTGTTATGAAATATGGGTGGACGATAACTATCTTATTGTTGAAGACTATTTTATATATATATATATATATATATATATATATATATATATACTACTGTTTGCAATTGCCTGCAGAAATCCTCTTTCTCTACTGGTTTTGCGTAGTTTATAGGAACTCAGCATCAGATAGTTATAACTTTGGTTCCATGATGCTGGGAAAGATTGGTTCCCACTCTATGAGAGCCTTTGCTATTGAAAAGACTGTAGAGAACAGATAGAAATGACGACATGTTGTTGAAGCCGTATGTTCCACAAATAATCCAAGATATAAATTATACTAATAGTGCTATTGGCGCATTTCATCAACTTATATGTTCATTAACTCCACGATCTCTTGGCTTGGAAATAAACAGTTTTTCTTACCATTGACTCTGATTGTTTAAAGTGTCTGAACGAAAAAACAAATCAGATTTAAGAAAACAAATGATAACTTTAGTGCCATGGGCATTCAGACCTATGCTCATTTAGTGCATTTAAAGTATTTGACATGTTTTTTATATGCTTGATTAATAACTAGAGTTGTATCTCTTCACTTATATGTATATATATATTTACAAAACTGTTTCAGAGTGCTTGTTTACGTCGCAGCTATGCCAACTGTCATTTTTTGTGCAACTTGGATGATTTGTTTTTGTATCTTCGTATTTTCTATGAAAAAATTCACACTAACTATCAGCAGTGTTGTCAGTTATCTTCTTGAGAATGCGATCGTAACAATCCTATTGATTCTGTCTTGTTCTTTTTGTACATTGGTAATGGTAAGTTGGAGTATTCAAGTGAATTACGTTACATACATTGCTTTTGTAATAATTAACTGTGAAATTAATCAGGTAATTTAGATATGATTGACTAGTTAGCTTGATGATTTGTTTCATTGTGAGAAAAAGAAAACACATCATCATCATCATTGAGGCGTTAGGAAGCAAGACGCTCTGCGGCTGTTTTCCATCATGCTTTTTATTTCTAGTATGTAGTGAACAAATATTCTTGCTCATTCAAAAAGCCTACAGCTTTCAGCAGTCTGACAAAAAGTTATTAAATAAGATGATTTAAATCCAGGTAAAGTAAAGTTTGGGTTTGTAGTTCAATGGTAGAATGCTAGCCAACCAACCACGCATTTGGTCTGGGGTTCGAATCCAAGCCGATGCACTCCTGAATGTCGTTTATTTTACTGGCTGGAAAGTAAGCCCAGAATAGAGCAAAGATTGAGAATGACGCTAGCAATCCCTCCACGTGAGAACAACAACTTCAAGCCTATGTGTTCCATTAGAGAGGCAATGGAATGAAGAACAAGTAAAATGTTTTTGCGTACAATTGTCTCCTTGTTCAATACATGTATACGCGATTATATTTAACCTGCGGTTATCTTCGTCGCTGTTAATAGTTTGTGGTTTTTGTAATATTTCTGTGGGTTGTGTAACTGTTTATGGTTTGAAATTTTTTCCTTTGAGTAGTAATCACACCCTCTCCATATACTTGCCTATTCATTAACAAGTATTTTAATCTACATAACTGTTACGTAACTGCTTGTTACCACTTGATTTATAGCAGTGGATAATAATTGTAAGCACTTCTTACTGCTGAGAATATTTCACGTAACCGTAGTTTGTTTACGTGATTCTTATATAGTAGGAATGGTGATTAAACTTGAGACGAAAACTGGAACACTAATACTATAAACCAATAAAACTCAACCAATCTCAATCATACATAGGCTGGACGAAGACCTTATTGACTAAAATAAGATTAAGAATGGCTTTTAGTAGTTTGCTGAGTTATCCACTAAGTCGGTGGCATGCAGGCTGTTATATCGTTTCTTGTTACCACCTGTCGTACTAACTGAAATCACCACACCGTCTCCCAGGTATATATATATATATATATATAGTTACTAAAAATGAATCGCTGCTTGTTGATTTCTCTATGCAATCTGATTTCCACTTCAAAATCTCTGGAAGTACCACTTAAAATATTCTCAGTTGCATTAAGCCTCAAAAATCTCTTTTTTGTCTTGCGTGAAAGTATATTTCATATTTTTGTTTATATTCTTTTCTGATGTCTGTCTTGAAAAAATGCCCTCTGTTCAAGTATGAAGATAGGAAGAGATTATCTTGCTTTGTTTTCTTTATTCTATTTTTTTCTAATAATCACTCGTGTTCGTATTTACACGTGTGTGTGTGTGTGTATGTACATATATAGGTTCAAGATTGATACAAAATTAGGTCAATGAATAGACACGTATTTTAACCTACATTTTATTGATTCAATAGATTCTTTTAAGTATTACGTATAGGCTTATCTTAGCTTCTTTTTCTCTTTAGAATTACGTATATATTAATAGTTCCCATTATAACATGAAAAACATAATGTTCAGTGAAGTGACTGTTTCTGATGAATTTATTATTATCCTATATAATAGTATATATATATATATATATATATATATATATGGTTTTTAAGAAATTATAACCTGTGAGTAGATTTAAACAAAGGCGTGAATACTCAAAATAATAATAATAGTATGAAATGCAATTAAATTGTTTGTGATTCTAATCATAGTTAAATCTATCAAGTGGCAAAACTTGCCGTGTTTTCGTTCTAAACTTCTAAAGAAAGCGGACGCCTTGGGTATGCACGAAGTCAATCAAGCCAGACCTTTGTGTAGGCAAGATTTATGTACAGTCTTCAGTTATACTTTTTGTACATAGCCAACACAAATCTTATGAAATTATATGAGATGATGTTATTTGGGTGACTGTAACTACCAGTGGCTGCGCGTTTCGCCCTATTTGGGAATTATCGTCTGGTTGTGCCTGAGTCTGCTGGTGTGTGTGTGTGTGTGTAGTGGTGTTCTCACTGAGGCACGCATCGTTTCAAACGCCAAAGCATCGTTACTTAATCTCTTCGAAATGATACTTTTTACACTTTTTCACCCTTCTGATACAGTCTCACTCTCTCAGGGAATGCTTCGGAGAATTTCGCCTAGTTCCTACAATAAATGAATGATTTGTATATTAGAGTTTGTTAACCCAAGGTTCTCTCCGGAAATCTAAGTTGAACATATTACTAAAAAAGGTGTTTTTATTTTTCACTAACTATTTCGTATTTTTTACCATTTTCTTAATTTATACAGATGAATTTAATTCCTCCCAATCTGACTTCATTTTTAATGTTATCAGTCTACATATCATGTGTAGTCTGTCTTATTCTTTGGGATATAAATAGTGATCTACTGGTTAGTCAGTTGTTACATTACCAATCTTATAATCATCGAAATCCAGAAATTAAAAATCCAATCACCGTCATTGATACTCAAGACTTCAATGATGAGTCCTGTGCAGAGAAGGATTCTGAATCTTTTACAAATGAATCAAGTGAAGATCGTTCGGCTGTTTCGGAGGTGTTTTGTCATTTGCTAATAAGGTTATGCATGTAAGTTTATTTTTTACTCGCAGGAGCATTTTCCAATATTAGTAGCTATTTAAGTATAATTATGCATGCTTTTATAAGTAGAAGGTTTTCATTATCCAATGCCAAAATAATTTACTCAGTCAATTTTAGTTAAACTCAGTCCTTTAGCACAGCATTTCCATGTATTAGGCTATGAGCTCCATTCATAGTGTGTAACAGCCGATAATGGTTGGCCAAGGCAGCGGCGATAAGAAATAGTGAAAACACCTTTACCTTTGTGGTACAGATCGATTGTAGAGAACTATTGATTCGAAAATTTATAACTGTAAAATGAACATAATACATTTAGGAGGAGTTCAGCAGACTAAAGGAATCTCAATATTCAAGTATTGGTTTGTAGGGATTCGGTTGATTGGTTACAGGATTTCATCACCAGCTGACATCGGTTAGATAACCATTGGAAGATCTGGGAGTACTGAACAGCCGGCGGTTTCGTCCTATTTTTGTGACTCTTCATTGGTACGAACCCACCGGGATTCGAACCCAGGACCTGGTTACAAGGTGAACTCGTGGACTATTAAGTCACTGGGACCCGATGCTATGGTCCATAAATTCCTAGTTCTGTCAATTCACGATATAGCGCGACCACTAGCTAATGTCTTCGGCGACTATTTGTCCTCACGCACGACCTGCTGTACCCTACTGGTCACGACTTCCCACTAAAACCCCAGGTAACTACTTACCTGAATAAGGCCAGTCGCCAGTGAGCATCTCATCGATATTCAAGTATTGGTTTGTAGGGATTTGGTTGATTGATTACAGGACTTCATCATGAGGGCATTGATGGAGAGCCTCAAACTAGGGCAAAGCAGTTCTCCAGTACTCCCAGATTTTCCAATGGTTCTCTAATCAATGCCAGCTCATGATGAAACCCTGTGAATAAAGGAATTTCTGTTGTACAGCCTCCAGTGCTTGCTGGGTATGTCTCGCCGATGAGTGTGGCCACTCAAACTGTTATACTGGTATGCAAAGTTCTTTGTTGGATCTCGATCAGTCAGTCAAGTGCCGAAAAGCACGAGACGTAGATACAGAGATTCCTGCCGATTGCTTCCAACTGTCTAATAGTAATCAGATCAATTTTGGTAAAATAGTGGTTATGAAAAAAAATTCCTGAAAGAAAATCCCAAAAGGTTGCTGATTATGAGTAGATGTAGCTAGAACAATTCAATTGTGAAAAACCACTGGCTATAAATGATAGTGATTATGCTCTGGGATTTACACCTGTCTGTCTGGCTGTTTTCGACATAGAACTTTGCACAAATGTGCGGAAGTTCAAGTCACCACACTCCGTGTAGCACGCGAAGCAAGAGAAAGTACAAGAAAAGCATAATAGAAACAGTGAGCAGAGGTGTGAGACAAAGGAGTAATAAAGAAAGACAAAACAGTTTCATTGGAGATCATAAGTTACAAGGAGTGGATGCATCTGCGCCACTGAGAACGATTTTGAGCCATGTCACCAATTGTTTCCAACCATAGATTTTTACCGTCCCGAGGACCCCAACCAGTCAGGAAGTCTACACCTTCCTACGTGGCTTAGACCAACTGTTGTGGATTTCATTGACTGGTGCCAAGTTTTTGTTTGACCGCCGCTAGCTTTTTCCAGCCTGACCCTATATCCGCTAACATTGCTCGTCGAGGGAGGCGATGGCTTGGCATACGCTTGGATTTACACCTACTGTTTCTGTTGTAGTCATTCAAATTATTTTTGATAGCACAGGTAATAATGAGGATAAAAGTGGCAGTGTGGTTGATAGACATATGGATGAAAATGTATCCAAATCTAGAGAATGTTAAATCATCTCTGATATGAAATGGTTCTGGAACTTCCTCATCAATGTACGGCCTATTAGATGACATGGTCGAAAATAGAAATTTTCACTGCGACCGTCTTTGGTTCGTCTTTTTAATGTGAAATTTCTAATGAATCAGTCCCGGTGTTAACTGTATTACAGATAGACTTTGGCTTGTTATGTGTTCTGTTCTTCTTTTACAGTTGAGCTTTTTATGTGAATCACTAACTTATATGCAGTTTATGAGAGTAAAGTCTTTTGTTTCAGAATCTGTTCCTGTGTAATCGATGAAACCTGGATATCCCATTAAATAATCGCTTATGTTCTTTTATGATGAACGAAGATAGTTGTCTTCCGTTTGCTACCTAGATAGACTGCAATCGATTAAAAAGAAATATCCTAACCTCTCCGTTTTTCATGATAAAACTTCTAGGATATATTGTCGGCGTTTAGTAACATTACTGGCAGCAGTATGACACACCAAAATAAAACTGACAGTGACTTGTCATCTCTTGTCTTCGCTTTAAGGTTATTTGGCTCTAAAATAGTCGTTTCAGAGTTGCTGGCTTTTTCAAGTAACAGTATTGTTTCCGATTTTGGATCTAGGAGACTTTCTCTAAGATTTTCGAAAAATTGACAGAGATTATATTGAGGACATTAGGCGGGATGTTACCATAAGATCAAGTCATAGCATTAGCTCTATCAGATCGATGACTTTTGGTTTGTACTGTTTATAGTTTGTAATTAACCCCATTAAAGACTATTGCTGTAATGTCTTCAAATTCCCTTCATTGGCGTAAATGTATTCATACCTAATTTCGATGTTAATTTCCCTAGCACATCTTTACCCACCTTGCATCTTTTTTTATCCTAAGGCAAATAATTCCATTATTCTAATTCCATTGTTTAATTGTTATTAATTTGCACTTGATACACAAATGTGGTTTATGTCAACTTGATAAGTTACATCTACGATTTTGGGTTACATGTTCATACTGTTTGTTTATCTGTACTTATTTTGAACGCATATCGTCATCTTGTCATTTTTTTTCAAGATATCTAAACCCATAGTTGTAGATGATGTTTCTTTTATTGAATGACATCATCTTTGCATGGTTGTTAGGATGTGGTGCATTTGTTTAAGCACTCAACTTTCAGTCATTGTGTTCGAGTCCCATCCCACCTGCCTCAGTCTCGGCAACTGAGTAATGTCATTACCCCCCCACACAATAAGTGTGGCTTATAGCCCCAGCACTGGGTTATTGAGAGCTAACTACCTAACTTTCATGGGTAAATTGGTGTTTTGATGTCAAGATAAAATTTGGAACATTTCTATCTGGAGCAATTCTGATATGATTTGACTTTTCAGCTTTTCTCTGTTGCGATAGTTTTCGTGAATACTAATCCCCATTCCCATGTTCTGTATAATAGTAAATGTAATGAAGACAATTAATTGAGTGGTGGTTATTCACTGTTGTAGTATTGTACAATTATAATAAGAGCTTAAATCTGGTAAAAGCTTCACTAGTTTTACTGAAAAAAGTGTCCGAATCATTGTTCATTTTTTATAAACTTAGATCTGTCTACTGTGCTTTTAATGAATTTATATGCTTCAGTTGAAAAAACGCTTATGATTAATGCTTAAGACAGGCATTTTTGTTGTCTGAAAATCACTTAATGATAATTATGCTATTTCCATGCTTACTCACCTGTAAAATTGATACAGATTGTTTAAATGCGCATTTAATTAAACGTACAGTTATGATATATTTTTATAGTTGTTAGCGCTGTTCATATGATTAAACGGAAACTTATGTAACGACATATTAAACACAACACTTTTATCATTTGGCTACACTGATTAAGCAATAAAAATATGAAAGTGTGTTTATAAGCAAGAAGTAATTTTGTATCTACTCTCCTTCCTTGTTCATCCTCTTATCAGTGAGATGAATTCAACCTTGTCTATTTCCTTCTGCTTATTATTATCATCACTATTTTTTTCATTTCTAGGTTGTGTTGTGGATTAGTGAGTTTACTTGGCTCACTGGCCTACGCGACGTATTCCATGGAATTGCCATCAGATAATGTGTGTCAATTGTATTCATTATTTTCACTGAAAGTTTTTGGCATAGCACAAGTATCTGTTGGATATCCTCAACGGTGGCTGTGCGACAAGGTAGGCAGACTATTATTCTGTGTTTGATCACAATATAATCATATTTCTAGTCACACTGATAACTGCACTACTCACTTGGTTCCGTTGACAACATTTAATGCATTGCTCACTGGCTTTTTAATGCTACTAATGTGTAGATGCCTAGAGAAATATTTTGTATATACATAATTTCATGTGTTATTCTGTTAGTCGATTCATTCCTAAGATTTCGTTCAAAGTAAGCTTTACTGTGGTTGGAAACTAGTTAGTTAGGGATTAGAAACACAAAAAAAATGTTCCTTTATCTAATTATTTGCCTTCATATGGGGATTGGTGGTGTCACATTGGCACTTGTGTAGGATGATTAGGTCATGTAACTATTAACCTTTCCCTATTCAGTCAAGGTGCCAAAATCCAATAACCGGTGTTTTTCAAGTTCTGATATAGTGACCTTAGTAAGAATAATTCCCTTGATACTTGATTTATTAATACCTTCGACTATGGCCTTTTATTTCGATGAATGTTTAGCCTAGGATTTTTTTTTATGTGAACCAATGACTAATATTGTAAATATTGACAATTTTGAAATGTAGGTGTTAAAGTATTGGTATAAGGTTTGTTCATGTGTTTAAACTATCATAGTTTCTACAAGAGAGTAGTGTAGTAGAGGTATCAAATTTCAGCATGCATATATATATATCAGAGAATGAACTTGTTTTAAATAGACTGACACTAAACTTACGATAGTAAATTTAAGTCACGGAATGTGATGAAGGCGTAAAATGTTCGCAACCTACACGTAAATCTATCACTCTACTACTGTACTTTGTTGCTTGATTAAAATCATTTAAACTAACATAAAAATAAACAGGTATCCTTTTGTTTCGATATAGTTCTATGAGCATCTCTTTCTTGACTTCGTCTGGTGCGCTATTTCAGATTTTGATAACTTAGACTGATACATTGCTGTACACTATTCAATGATATTCTGTTTGTGTGTCTGCTGTAATCTGTATAGGCGTTTCCTTACCCTTTTTTGGAGTAGATTTATTTACTTGCTGGTGGCAATTAAATTCATATACTATCCATCCTTATTTTTAACCTTTTTTATTTCATGAACATCGCTCATTTCAGATGAAAAACATAGTATGATTATTATTTCCTTGCATTCCAAGTAGAACATAGGGCTACAATACACACATCTTCACTTTGTTCGACCTCCTGCCATCATCTTCAGCTGGGTACACGATTGGCCGTAATCTCTCATCTCCTCTATGTCACCCTCGCACCGACGACCCACTTGTCGCTTCCCATTTAGGTTCCACTCGAACAATGTCATTCGACAGCCTCCTCAACGTATGCCCGATCCATCTCCATTGTTGAGTGATCGGCTCTTCTTTGGTCTGTTTCCAACCAGAGTTTCTTTTTGGCTAATTCTTTCTAGCCAGCTGGCTGGCCATTCGTTCTTCAGTATGGAGCCAGCCAGCGAAGGCAGCTGCTGATAAAAGCCTGTAACTTGTTGAAAATCCTTTTCGTCACATGCTGACCGAATTTCTGACCCGTTTAGAAGAGTTGACTGACTTCACTGATATTTGTGTTGAAAATCGGAATCTTGTTGTTTATGCTGGCTGAGTGAACCAGAAGATTTCCAAACCAGTTTCAGTTTGATGAAGGCGTGTCTTGCTTTTCCGATTCTGGCTGGCTGGCTGGCTGGCTTTCACATCTTTATCCGTGACACGTGTCTGTAGTTGAAATGATGCTTCCTAGCCAGATAAGTGAAGGCAAGAAGTAACCTTTGTCAAATCTCTCCCATTGACAGTGATTGGTGCTGGGTGTTGTTGATGTCGCTGTCAGTTGGTTAGCTTCATCACCTTCGACTTCTCTATGTTCACCTGGAGTCCTGTCTTAGCTTTCTAGCTGTTCCGTCTGTTTTCTGGTTTTCGCCTGTAAGTCTTTTAGTTTGTGTGACATTAAACATAAACCATCCACATGAGAAATCCCAAGCGTCTAGAGTCCTATCATCGGTGGTCCAGTCTATTCCTGTCTTCTCACTTCCAATGCACAATCTGACGAATGTTCCAGTCCACCACAATTAAGAATATCATCGATGATAATAGGCAACCACACTTGTCTTACTCATGTATTCAGTTCAGACGTCTCGCTGAGTTTCCCTTGTGGATCACCTGACACGTGGCCTCGTCACACAGCCAGCTATCAATGAAGACGGTAAAGACTTGGGAACTGCTCACCTCAGTGTTGAAGCAGTTTCCAAATTACTTCTCGGTCAACTCTGCTTGTTGAAGGCCTTTTCGAAATCGATGAATGAAGTTAGGGTAGAGAGAGGTATGACTTCCATTCTTTGCTTTGTTGTGTGATGACGATGCATAGAGTTGCAATTTGATCAGCACATGATTTGTCTTTCCTGAATCCAGCTTGTTGTGGTGAGGCTGGCGGAGTTCTACATCCAATGCATCCTTCAGTCTCTACAGGATGATATGACTTAGTATTTTACTTGGCGAGGGGAAGAACATCATTCCACACCAGTTCTTGCAGAATGAGGCGTAAGTCGCCTTTCTTTGGCAGTTTGACAAGGTAGCCTTTCTTCCAATCGGTAGACACCTTCCCAAATTCTTGCCAAACCTTCTTCATGAATGGCGTGAGCACATCTAGTGCAACCTGTGGGTCCGTTTCGAGTGCTTTGGGTGGCGGAATTCCGTCTTGTACTGCTACCTTTCCGACTGGACCTCAGTAGCTTGATTGTATTCAGGATTTCTTCTTTCGTTGGAGGAGTGGTGTCCACTGTTAGGCAATTCCGTGCGTGCTGTTCATGGTGGTGGGATTTCTGGGCGAGTTGACGGTGGTGGTTGATTCAAGGGTCCTCTAAAGTGATCAGCCCATTGTTTCATTTGTTTCTCCTCCTTGATGATCAGACTTCCATTGAGCATCTTTTATTGGTCTCATCACCTGGGTTGGTCTTTTCCAGGATAGAGACTTGCTTATCTGATATAGTGTCCTGATGTCTGTTTTACCTGCGGACTGCTTGCTCTTCTTCAGTTTCCAATGTGTTGTATAATTGTCTTTTGTCTCTTCTAGCACTCTTCTTCACTTCTTTATTCAGTGCAGTGTACATTGACCTTCAGTTGTCCGTCTTTGCATTGAGTCATCTTCTCTTTCACCATCCTCCTCTGTTTTCTTCTATTACCTTCCAGGTAGGTGTTCGTTGAGAGCCAATCTTTGTCTTGTCTCTTCTTTCTTCCTAGAAATGTTGTACACGTTTCCTTGAAAATCGCCTCCTGAGAGCTAGTTCCTTTGTTCTTCCATACAGGTTTCGTCAGTGATACCTCGTAGTGTCTCCGACTTCGCTCTGTTCTGATTTGTAGTGAAGGTACCACTTGGAGTTTTGTCCTTCAGTTGTTGAATGTTGAACTTGAATTTCAGTGGTCTATCTCCATTATTTTTCAGGAATTTTAGCGTCAACTTGAAGGTTCCTTGAACTAGATGATGGTCTGAGACCGCATCTCCTGCCCTTCTCGACTTCCACTATCCAGTAGGCTGCGTCTCCAGTTCCTTGAGATTCATATGAAATCTATTTGGTTTGTGGTATGTCCTTCAGGTGAAATCCATGTTGCTTTGTGTAAATCCTTGTGTTTGTACACGCTCCCTCCGATCACCAAATCGTTGAAAGAGCAGAAGTCTGCGAACGGTTCTCTGTTCTTATACATTTCTTCGAAAGCCTCTCGACTCAAGATGAGTTCCCTTCCTGTATTGTCTGCTCCCAGTTCGGCTGGCATTCATATATATATATATATATATATATATATATATAATATATATATATATATATATATATATATTGCTGCCTCGTATATGTTATTTACTGGAATTAATAATAATTAGCTTTTTACTTCAGATACGATGCCGATCTTCTCGTCTTTTTAACAATGAATCCAAAGTCTTGCAATTCATCTTGACTTGTGTGGTGAACTCAAGTATCGTTTTATCAGTTATCCTCCGTTTTCAATTCTGTTCAAGTTTTAAAACGGACTTGGAGGTAAGTAACCTATATGAAATAACTACTACATTGCCTTTATGATTAATCCATTTATAGTAATTTTCTGAGGGATTAATTAACCAATATGTCAAGGATAAAGGAATGGGATGGTGGATCACCAATTTTTATCAGTGTCATATCTTTCTCTATCAGCCTGCAAAATTGCTTTAATGAGGATCATCTATCAACGAAGGAATCGGTCTTTAACTAGAGAACAGAATTCTACAATTCCCTCACGACTTAATTACTCGTGTAGTGAAATATAATTCTTCTTCCGGGAGAAGCATTTCTGTACACTTGCACAAATTAAATGTCTATCGATTAAATTTAAATTTATCGCTACTTCATTACTACTGATTATTTGGAACTGTATATTACAACCTTAATGATGTGGTTTCAAGACAAGCGAGGACGTATTACAATTAGTTATTTCTCAGTAGATGCTCTCATACATTGAAGGATGAACTTCATAAATACTTATTACTTTTAACATTGGTATGATTTAAATTTGATCTCGGAACTGTGTTCAACTGAAATATATTTTTAGCTTTGAGAGTATATTTATCACTCCCCACTACTACTACTACTACCTAATATGATAAAAATCTGCAGATATTAATATATTCGGGCGTAAAAGGCGATTTACTGTTTCCAATCAGCTACTTCCAGTCTTTATTTATTTGAATGCGATCAAAGTTTTGACAAGGATATATGAAGTATAGCCCAACTTTATTTAATGTTCACTTGAGTGTTACCACTTTCAAATTATCTAATCTTTACTGCCGATTGTATTCGATTCATCAAGTGGGTCACCAAACACCAAACTGATATGCTCATCTCTATGGCGTGTGCGCACCCCAAGTTTGGATTTTAGTGGTCTCCAACTAATACTTATTTCTTCAAATGCCACATCGTGAGAGCACCAGGCAATCTTCTACTTGGTTACAAGATTTCATCATGAGCTGGCATTGGTTAGAGAACCACTGAAAAACCTGGGAGTACTGAATTGTTTCGTTCTAGTTTGGGACTCTTCATCAGCACGCACCCACTGAGGTTCATTTGCCTTATATACACATATATGTGGCGTCTGCTGCTGACAAAATTTATTAGTAGTATATAGATGCAGATATAAATATGTATATCATCTGCAAGATTATCGAGTGGCGTAGAGATGGATTTAATGAACTATGCTTGTGAAACAACATGAAAAAACATGGAAGGAAGACAATACCGAGCACATGTGCAAATTGAGATTCCAATATGTGGTAGATGTATTTTGCCTATATCCGTTTATCCAATTGCTAATAAATAATTCCGTTGGCAAACACTCTTGTGTTGTTCCGTTACACATGTATGTATGTATGTATATTTATGATGCGTTTTTCTTTGATTACTTAACTTGGTGTTGTTTTAATGACGTATGCTGAAAAATTCCCCTGCCCATCTTTTATTTGATGACCTTTGTTTTTTTTTTTACTTATTTCTGTAGGTTTTCTTTTTACCATGGATTGTATTTACTTTTCACGGAAGACTATTCAACCGTTACCGACATATATTAGCGTTAATTTGCTTTACTATTTTCTTAGTCTATTTGATATTTCTTAATTCTCCGGTAGTCAAAGGTTATTCACCACCCTTACCAACATTTGATCGTCAATTTTTTGGAAAGTCTAATTCATCAGTTTATTATTGGAGTGAATTTTTACTGACTATTGCATTAATTCCGCTTCATATACTCTTTCTTACAGATCAGTTGGATTTGAGTACACAATCCCTAGTGAATGTTATATTTTTCAATTATTTTGGCCAGTCGCATAATCAGCATTTACCTTCATCTATATGTTTTAAATGTATTAAATTGTATATGGCGAATTGTTTAAGTTGCATTTTTGCATATATTCTATGCACTAGTTATGTATTACTACCATTATGCATAAGTTATTGGTTTATTGCCAGTTCTTTTGCATCAGCTATTTTTGGATTTTATAGTTTTATTATATGTATTTATTTATTACTCCGTGTAGACGTGGTCACAGACGATTACTATGCGTATCGGTAAAACAGTTTCGACAACAGCGGTATCTACACATATAAAAAGCATTTATTTTATTTATCTTACATTATTCCATTTATTCTCATTTTCTTTTTTTTAAAAAAAGAACTTGGGATTACTAATCTGTGTACCTTCGTATATTTTATATATGTATTACTATTAGTAATAAATGTGATATACTTCATCAACTGATTAGACTGTTTTCTTTCTTCTGTGATTCGTTATTAATTCAACCACGTATGTGTGTATTTCTATGCTTGTATGTGTGTGTGTCAGTCATTTCAGCTTGCACATATTTCTGTATTCTTTATGATTATTGTTGTTAACTGTGATGTAAATATTCGGATGTAGTGTCTGCTATTATTCTTTCTCACAGACTGCAGATGTTTTGAACGTCTTAGGGGGTTGCACAGGCATTTTGTTTCCTTCACGTTCCCCATTGGAACATAGGGCTCTAAGCTAGAGGCTTGAAGTTTCTTTAGAAGTGTTAATTTTTACAGGATGGGGTTGCTAGCCTCATGCCCAACCTTCCCTCTTTACCAGTCTCACTACTGGCTTAGCGAGGTAAAGGGTGCGTCGACCGGGGATGGAACCCCGGACCATGTACATGGTCGACGAGCGTCCTAACCGCTATGCCATCGATGCCCGAAGATATGCACAGGTATGCTAACTTCCTAAACAGCCTAACCAACACTTACAGGCATCTAGAAGGCAGCAAACACCTATCAGTCTTTAGGATTAGCCTTTTTTAGTTTGTTCTGGCTATGGTGAAGACCAGCAGCCAGCCAAATTAATAATCACCTGAAAAAAATAAATAATAGTTTTCAGCGTCACATTTCTATTCATCTGACAGTAGTATTTTTGTCTGGCCTTTTGCTATAGCGTAAATTATTCACTCTTAAGCAGTTATCACTTTCTCTTTTTTATCTTTACATACCTTGTTATGTTAGATGATTCGAAAAAATAGTAATCACTAGAAAATTGTTATTTTTGGGGTTTTTTCTGCGACCATGGATTTGCTTTAAAAAATTCAAAGGTCTTCTACCTACGAAATGGCAACGAAAGTGCTGTATTTTTCTATTTCAGTTATTATATGGGGTACTGAGTTAGTGAACTTACCTGTTCAACCATACATTGTAGTATAATTGTTCGTTTGATGAGTAACTCCTTACGGAATCACAGAATGTTGACTTGATATCCATAAAATTTTCTCAGTTTGTACTGTTCAGTTGGTCTTCAGATTATTCAAAATAGTTGTTTAACAGAATTACCTCCTTTACTGCTTGACAATCAAAAATAAGTGAAGGAAAACAAAATAATCATCAATTTTTCACCAACAACTTAGAGCTACTTATAGGTTACTCTTCTCCAACTGTCCGTTTCTTGGTAGAATCCCCTTTAGTTATAAGAATGATGGAACTGAAGCACGAAGACCAAGTAATGTTGTTAGAAACTACTAGCTGGGTTTATTTTTACTCAACTCATCTATTGCTATAATATTCTTGGCCATTATGCAAACACAGTTTCAATAGAGTGTGAATATTAGACGTGTAACTGCAGTAGGAACTCCAAGGATTCTATTTAATTGGGTCCATTGCCAAGCAACTGGACATAGCTTTTTAACATAAGGATTGTGTGAAGATGGTATTAAGGACTTATTGCTTGTAACACCTACTGTGATCATTTATGGATGGGGGGAATCCGAAATAGTTCCACCAAACTACCGATGGTCCTCGATTAGCTGAGTTTGTAATAGAGGGAGCAACTGTTGTTGTGATATTAATGACCTTGTGTCAGCTTAACTGCTGTAGTAATCTAGACTTTTACTTCCGAAGTGATAAACAGACTATTTGCATGTTGGTGAAAACGACAACAAAACAACCATTCATGTTTCGCAGTCGGACGCATCTTCAGCCTTTAAAGGTTTTTTTGGAACACAGATTTGTTCGACCTGAGAGTAGCATTCGACTACGTGTATTGAGAAAGGTTACGAAAATGGCAGCCAAGGTAACACTGATTTTTAATTTAATTTTTTTTTTAATTTTTGATTTACAGCTTGATTCCACACTGTATTTTTGGTACAAGTATGGAATTTTCAGCATGGATATCGGTAGCCGAAATTTCGCAGGCCGACCATAGATATCAGGTGTGCGTCGGTGCGGGCTCGAACCCTGGACCCTGATAAGTAATATGACGTTGCACGAGTGTGTGGAATTGTCGTTTGTAGTCATCACAGTCCATGGCGATAGTCAGACGTGCTAGAGTTTGCAGACAGGTAAAAACTGACAAAAGACAGAGTTCCTCTAACAATGTGTCATACTTGTTGTTTGTTTGGCATTCTAGTCACCTTTGGCAAATGTGAAATGGTGATGCAGGCTTTATCTGCATCAACTCGTGGTTCAAAAGTAGGGTGCCGTATGGCTGATTATGTTGATGGCTTCACTTATTTTAGGAGTTACTTCGATGGTAACCGACTCGTTTGGCACAAGTTGACTTTAGTCGTATTTCGCCTAGGTGGGATGTCAGGCTTGCAATTAGTAGACGCGTTTATAGACAGTCGTACTTACGCTTGTATAAGATATTCTACAAAGGTAAACTGTATGGAACCATCAAAAGCTTTGACCACAGGTATCTTAGTTCAGTCGCCCTTATTATTTGGAGCAATATTATACCAACGTTAGGCTAGTCGAGGTTGTGAAACTCCATCTATTGACATGTACTATACATGATGTTCCACTGCCTCGATCAATGGGGAATATTAGCTTAAGTAGAATTAGTTTGGAAAAGTGTTAACAGTTGTTGACTCTACATATAAAATATCAGTTCATGAAGCCATTTACAAATGGTTTGAACCAGATTCAGAAGTAAGATTATATGGAACTATGGTTGGGTAAACTGATTCACTTCACGACATTCTCTGTTGATTCTTCAGCTGTTTTCTTAACCATATTAATGTCCATTTAAATGCCTTTAACTCATTCTCATATAATTTTAACAAAAACCACACGTAAAACTATTTTATTTTATTTCACCGTTTATAATGAACCGTGGACTGCGTGAAAGTCCAATGATTTAAAAAAGAATCAAATTAACGTGATTCTTGGTAGCACTGAATGTACTTTGTAACAGACATTATAAAGTGGGAATATTTCTATCTCAGTGTATTAGCAGTTTACATGCATTACCTTAACAAGAGGGTTAGGTAGGTACGCCTTATTCATTCAGACATCTATAAAACACAAAATAGATGAGCGAAGAATGTCCTTTCCAATAATTTCCTCTTCTGACTGTAATTGATCAATAAGACTGATATTATTATTTCTGAATGTACATTATCCTATATTGATTTTTATTTAAATATCTAGTCAATTCCACACATGTATATAAATGAAGGAAAAAGTCGTATGAGTAACTTGATACGAATATGAGTGGCAATAGTTTGTGCTCGAAACGTCATCAGTTAATATCGCTGTGTAACACTGTGTGACTTATCAAAATAAAATCATATCCATAATGGAGTCATACTCTACCACAGTGCCCAAGTTTTATACTAACCTTAAGAAGCCTAATTTATGCGTCCAAAGGAAGCTAGTTGAGACATTGTCCTTACCTTGGCCATCTAGGTTTGAATGATCCTCAGTTTTTTGTAGTAATTTCCCTAATTTTAGTTGATATTCTATTTGCTATTGTATTATTATTATTATTATAAGTTAAGCATCTTTAATGAACTGTAATTCCATTGATCTTATTTTAAAATCGATATTATTTAAAAGCACTAATATTGTTATTGACTACTATTCTAAAATATTCTATGTATATAAACATACATATATAATTGTAGAGCCAGAAGAGGAAATTATCCAAAAGGATATTCTTTGCTCAATTATTTTATGTAATTTATTTTAAACACGTAAATCAAGTTCCTGGTTAACTGAGTAACAATTTACAACTTATATGGGCTGGCATTCATCTTTCCTTGGTTGTCATTCATTAAATTCGCATATAATGTAGTATCCTTTCAGCTGTTAAAAAGTCAGCTCTACTAGCAGCTCATATGAATTGCTATCCATCCGGCGACGTAATTTTTAAGCGATTTCAGCCGTTGATATTTCGTGTGTAAAAATAATTACCAAAGTAATCTTATTTATGATAGAGGCGGAAGTAAGTCAATGTAGGAAATCATAGAATTTCCTGTTTTAATGCCTGAGCCACACAAGTGTGTGTGGATTCCGTCTTCGTAAACACTACAGATGATTGTTTGAATACTACAGTTGAAGATTGATAGTCGGTTATCATTGTGTTATTCGCTTTGTTTTAACGTATTCTATTTCCTCTCCAGTTAGCAGTTAAACGTGTGTGGTCTTTACTGGTTTAAAAATAATTGCTCTGTTTTAGACAAATAAGTATCCTGCTAGCATATACATTGTTGTGCATCAAACAATTCTACTATTAAGAAACATAGAGAAAATATTCATTCAGACATCTATGAAACACAAAGTAATTGAGCGAAGAATATCCTTTTCGATAATTTCCTATTCTGGCTCTACAATTATACATATGTTTATATACATAAAATATTTTATAATAGTAGTCAATAACAATAATAGCGTTTTTTAAATAATATCGATTTTTAAAATAAGATCAATGGAATTACAGTTCATTAAAGATGCTTAACTTATAATAATTATAATAATAATAATAATACAATAGCAAATAGAATATCAACTAAAATTAGGGAAATTACTACAAAAAACTGAGGATCATTCAAACCTAGATGGCCAAGGTAAGGACAATGTCTCAACTAGCTTATTTTTGACGCACAAACACTAATTGGACAAGTGTTTGTCAACATATTACTCTACATACAGTATTCATCCAATGAAAACTAATCAGGAATTTCAATAAACCGCTATAAATTTGAAATATGATGAATTCTGTCTTCAATGTAGCTATAGTAATAGTAATAATAGTAATAACTGGAAGCATTTCCGTCTATAAAACCACAAAAACGAACACCATTCCCGTTGAAATACAATTATTTTTCTTTAGTCTATTTGATTTGTTATTTCATATCATCAGATTGATATGATCATGAAGGATAAATTGTGTTCGAAACGTTGTCATCAAGTAAATAATTCTGTTTCACTGTATAATAGATATAATATATCCAGTCAACAGACTAACATCATGAAAGTGCACAATTAATTATTTTTGTGAAAGAGTGCATTCCACTGTTAAACTAGTTGTTAAATTGTTTATTCACACCCAAAATATATATAACACTATAAACAAAATTCAATTTGCTCCATATACAAAATATTTTATATGAAAGACAAACTCCCCCCA